ATTAATAAAATAAAACAACACAATAAAATTCTCACGACGTTTCGGCCACAACACAAGTGGCCTTCTTCAGGTGAAAGGAACAGACCTGTCGGGACGACAGAGCTTCAATGAACGTTGTTAAGATTCGTAGCGTCTTTTTAAGCTGGTTTAGAGGAGTGAGGCACCTTGACAAAGGGGTTTACATATAAAACAGGAGAATTTAGCATTGAAATAGCTGAGTGATTAGCTTGTGACTGGTCATAGAAATAGCTATGTTAAAGTCAAAGCTTACACATCCACAGAGGCACCTAGTACAAATCAAACAGGATAATTTAGCAATGAAATAGCTGAGTGATTAGCTTGTGACTGGTCACAGAAATGGCTATGTTAAAGTCAAAGCCTACACATCCACAGAGGCACCTAGTACAAATCAAACAGGAGAATTTAGCATTGAGATAACTGAGTGATTAGCTTGTGACTGGTCATAGAAATAGCTATGTTAAAGTCAAAGCTCACACATCCACAGAGGCACCTAGTACAAATCAAACAGGATAATTTAGCAATGAAATAGCTGAGTGATTAGCTTGTGACTGGTCACAGAAATGGCTATGTTAAAGTCAAAGCCTACACATCCACAGAGGCACCTAGTACAAATGAAACAGGAGAATTTAGCATTGAGATAACTGAGTGATTAGCTTGTGACTGGTCGTAGAAATAGCTATGTTAAAGTCAAAGCCTACACATCCACAGAGGCACCTAGTACAAATCAAACAGGATAATTTAGCATTGAAATAGCTGAGTGATTAGCTTGTAACTGGTCACAGAAATGGCTATGTTAAAGTCAAAGCCTACACATCCACAGAGGCACCTAGTATAAATCAAACAGGAGAATTTAGCATTGAAATAACTGAGGGATTAGCTTGTGACTGGTCATAGAAATAGCTATGTTAAAGTCAAAGCCTACACATCTACAGAGGCACCTAGTACATGGACGCCAAAGAGGCTGCAACAACTCGACTATCATATAGTAAACCGATGTGAAAAAACCTAAGTCTAAATTACATCAATATAATAAATGTACTCAATATATTCTTCAATAAGCTGAGCTATGAACAGTAACTGGGTATACACTACACTATATATTGAATACCATATAGTAAACCAATAACAAACTAAAATATAAACTACCTCAATGTTATCAATAAACTCTATATATTATCCAATCAGCTAAGCTACCAACAATAAGTCGTTATATATCACAATGCTATATGGCGAAAAAATGGGTGGATTCTTACCCTCAACTTCAGCACCACGGATAGCTATGAGCCCCGTTCAGGTGGACGAGTTTATCCATGGTTGGAACGGAGGAGGGAGAGAGAGACAGCTGCAAGGTGCTGTTATACTCCATATTGTAAACCATACCATTCACTGTGGTGTGAGAGGTATTAAGAGTCAATGCCAGCGAAAGAGCTGCGGTCTGAAGGTCATCGTAAAATACAATTAATTAAGAACCGAAATGGTTTAAAACATCTTTCCAATGGTTACTAAGCCAGAATCCATCTTCTCGGTTGAAATTGTCTCTGTGCTTGTATATGTGAATGGCCTCATGAACGAATCTCTCATGGTAGCCGGTTTGTTTGCAACCTCCGTCTTGGAGAAGTCAATGTCATGTGAGCCCACTGAATTATAACAGTGATCCGCCACAGCAGAGGAGTTCGTTCTACCGTGTTTCAAGTCTGCTTTATGTTCGCGGATGCGGTCCGAGATATGTCGTTTGGTTTTTCCAATGTAGCTACTACCACAGAGGCACTTTAGTTGACTTCTCCAAGACGGAGGTTGCAAACCAACCGGCTACCATGAGAGATTCGTTCATGAGGCCATTCACATATACAAGCACAGAGACAATTTCAACCGAGAAGATGGATTCTGGCTTAGTAACCATTGGAAAGATGTTTAAACCATTTCGGTTCTTAATTAATTGTATTTTACGATGACCTTCAGACCACAGCTCTTTCGCTGGCATTGACTCTTAATACCTCTCACACCACGGTTAATGGTATGGTTTACAACATGGAGTACAACAGCGCCTCGCAGCTGTCTCTCTCCCCCTCCTCCGTTCCGACCATGGATGAACTCGTCCGTCTGAACGGGGCTCGTAGCTATCCGTGGTGCTGAAGTTGAGGGTTAGAATCCACCCATTATTTCGCCATATAGCATTGTGATATATTACGACTTATTGTTGGTAGCTTAGCTGATTGGAGAATATATAGAGTTTAATGATAACATTGAGGTAAATTTTGATTTAAAGCTTTCGTGACTGCAGTAATTCATATTCTTAGTTTTTTCGGTAAAGTCACGTTGAAGAGAAACAACAAAATAACAAATATATATAAAACAATAAAAAATTCTCACGACGTTTCGACCATAACGCAAACCGACACACCTGATGATGACCGTTTGCGTTATGGTCGAAACGTCGTGAGAATTTTTTATTGTTTTATATATATTTGTTATTTTGTTGTTTCTCTTCAACGTGACTTTACCGAAAAAACTAAGAATATAACATTGAGGTATAAGAATAGGTTTTACCCTTTTAACTGGCACAAAAAATAACATTGAGGTAGTTTATATTTTATTTTTTTATTGGTTTACTATATGGTATTCATTATAGAGTGTAGTGTATACCCAGTTACTGTTAATAGCTCAGCTTATTGAAGAATATTTTGAGTACATTTATTATATTGATGTAATTTAGACTTAGGTTTTTTCACATCGGTTTACTATATGATAGTTGAGTTGTTGCAGCCCTTTTGGCGTCCATGTACTAGGTGCCTCTGTAGATGTGTAGGCTTTGACTTTAACATAGCTATTTCTATGACCAGTCACAAGCTAATCCTTCAGTTATTTCAATGCTAAATTCTCCTGTTTGATTTATACTAGGTGCCTCTGTGGATGTGTAGGCTTTGACTTTAACATAGCCATTTCTGTGACCAGTCACAAGCTAATCACTCAGATATTTCAATGCTAAATTCTCCTGTTTGATTTGTACTAGGTGCCTCTGTGGATGTGTAGGCTTTGACTTTAACATAGCTATTTCTACGACCAGTCACAAGCTAATCCTTCAGTTATTTCAATGCTAAATTCTCCTGTTTGATTTATACTAGGTGCCTCTGTGGATGTGTAGGCTTTGACTTTAACATAGCCATTTCTGTGACCAGTCACAAGCTAATCACTCAGATATTTCAATGCTAAATTCTCCTGTTTGATTTGTACTAGGTGCCTCTGTGGATGTGTAGGCTTTGACTTTAACATAGCTCTTTCTATGACCAGTCACAAGCTAATCCCTCAGTTATTTCAATGCTAAATTCTCCTGTTTGATTTGTATAGGTGCCTCTGTGGATGTGTAGGCTTGACTTTAACATATCCATTTATGTGACCAGTCACAAGCTAATCACTCAGCTATTTCAATGCTAAATTATCCTGTTTGATTTGTACTAGGTGCCTCTGTGGATGTGTAAGCTTTGACTTTAACATAGCTATTTCTATGACTAGTCACAAGCTAATCACTCAGCTATTTCAATGCTAAATTCTCCTGTTTTATATGTAAACCCCTTTGTCAAGGTGCCTCACTCCTCTAAACCAGCTTAAAAAAACGCTACCAATCTTAACAACGTTCATTGAAGCTCTGTCGTCCCGACAGGTCTGTTCCTTTCACCTGAAGAAGGCCACTTGTGTTGTGGCCGAAACGTCGTGAGAATTTTATCATGTTATTTTATTTTATTAATGTATTACTTTATTCTCATTCTACGTCACTTTACCGAAAGAACCAAAGAAGATGAATCCTTGCAGTCACGAAAGCTTTAAATGGAATAAAATGCAGGATGTTGTTGTTTCGATCCCGACCCTGACGCCTGCTGTATATTTGGAGTTTGCGTGTTTCTCTCCCCATGTTCGCGTGGATTTTTCTCCCGGTCCTCTGGATTTTCCTTCCACATTTAGAAGCAACGTGCGTTTAGAGTATTTGGCTGCTTTAAATTTCCACGTGATAAGCCACTTCGTTGAGCTATCATTTGTGGCCAGGTCGCTTCTAAAAAAGAGCTATATATAGCTCAGTGGGCCTTATTGTTTAGGATGTTTACCCCTGACATGCGTAGATTTAAATTCCAATTTCTTCCCATATGCTATAATAGCACTTACAGGTACCCATAAATACAACGTCCAAATATTAGAGGCGTTTGGACAATGTATTTGTAATTTAATTGTTACAATTTAAAGCGAATTACATTCACAAATTGTTATATTTTTTCATCATTACGATGAAGGGTTAACACAAGTCTCGTTGCAACGTATAAAAGCAAAACATCAATCAATGTAGCATGAGCTAAGGGAATAAAGTAACTAATTATAGATCAATCGTGGTGTCTCTCCTAAACATTTGAAGGATAGAGTGCTCTTTTGAAAGAGTCATCAGACTCGTCTTTAGCTTTCCTTTGCTAAATAAAATCACGGCTCATCTCGAAAAACAAAATGAGTGTCGTGCGGCAGTTGTCTTCATAGGTGGTCGTAAGCCAGATTTGCTCATTCCACATTCCCATTGTGAGGACAGGTCCATCAATTCCACAGAACAACCACTTATAATATCATTATTAAATACAAGTGTATAATAATACTTATTATTCTTATACACAAGTGTATAATAATATGTATAATAATGCATTTTACACGATGGCTTTAGAGGCTGCAACCCAGAGGCTTGGAATTTGGTTTAATTGCAAGCCTATAGCATTGTGATAAATCAACTAGGTAATGTATTAATTTAAACCTAAACCATCACAATGTATATTGCTACCGGTTATGTGCCAAAATTAAACAACTTGTGCTCATTTAAATGTTTATTTGACTTTTCAATTCGTTATTATACACAAGGGTTTAATAATAAAGTAAGCGTGTGTTGAATATACGAATCCATCTGTCAGAGCCGGTATTGCAGTTGCTGGCAATTTTGGCAACGGCTGCATTAAAAAAAACACAAGCATGTGTCTGAATCTCATACAGAGGCTGCGGTTGTTCCCATTCCGCAATCCCGTTGCTCCACAATCTCTCCATCCTGTGTCAGTGGCAGCAGCATCCAGGCGAAGCAAGAGACGATATCGTCCGTCCTCTGCTCTCTCCGGCAACGTGAACCGACGACAGTGGAGCAAATCATGGTGAGCCAGAATCCCGCTACGCATACACCTTCGATGGATTAACGTGAATCGTGATTACCCTGTACTGTGTTCTGCTTGGCCCCGATTGCAGTCAGAGGCTGACAGTGACGCGCTACCGGAGAATACTCAATGAATGCGAACAATTAAAATGTGCCCAGCCTCGATTGATTCTGCGCGGTCGCTGATCTACGCCGAGCCAGCGATAAAAAAAATAATAATTAGACGGAAAACAGTCTCTAGCAAAGGAATTTGCCATTTATTCACAATGGAGGACTATCGTGAAATGAGTCTTGATACTCGGTGAGATTATACAGCTAAATAAAGAGTATTAATTATTGTTATTACGTTGCATTGAGGGTTTGCTACAGGGTAGGGTGATGCGGACAAGGCTGGGTGAACACGAGGACTTGAGAGGCTGCAACCCGGAGGCCTTAGAATTTGAGGGCCCACCAAAATGCACATATCCAGGTTTATAATGGTTTTATATTGCAATACTATACCATTGTGATAAATGCCCTAGGCAATTTGTTCATTTCAACCCAAACCATCACAATGCCTATTGCTACCCGGTTACATGCCAAAAATTCAACAACTTGTGTTCATTTTTAATTAAATTTGGCTTTACAATTCGTACGCATCACACACAAAATACATAACGAATACTGTGAACCGAGGTGGAATAACGGTGCAGTTTCGGCATCATCGGGCACGTGTGGTGGTAAAATTGCAACGGGATGGAATTGAATGCACAAATAAATGCCTTCCCAGACTCCCAAGGCTATCAGAACACGGACCGACCATCAACGTAATCCGGACCTGCATGCGGACACTTATGCTGTGAATATTTAGATGATTGTTTCCGAGGCTGGATATTCACAAGTTTTCCACTCTTCACTCAAAACTCACTTATTGCTCTGTTGCTCACCCCACGACCCCCCTTAATCTCCCCCTCGTAACCACCACCACTATCACCGTTACTGCCCCCTCTTCATATTATCATGGCGTGGCTATCACTCATTAACCCCCATTCATTCAATCCGTTCACCATCGTCATTTACCATTCATTCAATCCGTCCATCGTCGTCATTTACCATTCATTCAATCCGTCCATCGTCATTTACCGACATCAATTTTCGCTTTCATTGAATTCTCGCATAATCACAGACTCGCCCCCACATCGCTCCCCCTCGTCTATTTCACTAACCTCACCTCCACCATTTCATTCGCACACCATGGAACCGTTCTTAATTTTCCGCGAAGCTCTCTATGAATTACGTTAAAGGATAGGGCAAGATGTCCGAGGGTTAATTCCCACCACTGTGGCTGCAACAGGCATGCGATGCTTGAAGGGAGCGCGTCTCCAATGCCCGCGGATAGCCGCAGTTGTGGCACTGTTGAACGATATTGCGTTAGGGGCCGTCCGTAAATGACGTCACGCGATTTTGGACGATTTTTGACCCCCCCCCCCCCCCATCGTCACACGGCGTCACAAAAAGTTAAACCCCCCTCAAATATGACGTCACAAAGCTCTGCCCCCCCCCCCCCAAATTAAACATGCTTCAAATCGCTTTAAACTATTATCATTGTAGTGCGTATTTAATGTGGCGCTGCACTCTGATGTTGTAGGAGAAAACATTTATCAAAAAGTCTATTTAATTAAGTAGAACGTGTTGTCTATATTTATTTCAAGTTGCGCATTTTGGTGTGACGTCACATTTCTCAAACGCTCCCCCCCTCGTCACAAATGTCTGACCCCCCCCCCCCTAGGCGCGTGACGTCATTTATGGACGGCCCCTTACTCGATGGCACTAAACAGTTACCGTGTGGCTCTCGGTTATCCTTCAATGCAGGGAACCATCCGGGGGGGTTGGTCGTTTCATCGTGTTCGCGGGGAAGTTTTTGTTTTTAATATCTGATAAGGAGATATCTTGACGCGCCGCTGTTTTTAATGAGCTTTAATGAGCGAGCTTCGAGCTGCTTTGGGCCCTGGCTGGGAATCGAAAGCGCCAGTGGGGCCCCGGGGTTGGTTGAACGTGTGATGTTGAACCTCGTTCGCACCGTACGTAGCCAACCACGCTCATCGGGGGTGCCGTGTTGAGAATATTGCCTAGTGTTAGTCTATGGGTAGTGTTAGTCTATGGTGTAGTGTTAGTCTATAGGTTGTGTTAGTCTATGGGTAGTGTTAGTCTATGGGTAGTGTTAGTCTATGGTGTAGTGTTAGTCTATGGGTAGTGTTAGTCTATGGGTAGTGTTAGTCTACGGGTAGTGTTGTCTATGGTGTAGTGTTAGTCTATGGGTAGTGTTAGTCTATGGGTAGTGTTAGTCAATGGGTAGTGTTAGTCTATGGGTAGTGTTAGTCTATGGGTAGTGTTAGTCTATGGTGTAGTGTTAGTCTATGGGTAGTGTTAGTCTATGGGCAGTGTTAGTCTATGGGTAGTGTTAGTCTATGGTGTATTGTTAGTCTATGGGGTAGTGTTAGTCTATGGGTTGTGTTAGTCTATGGGCAGTGTTAGTCTATGGGTAGTGTTAGTCTATGGTGTATTGTTAGTCTATGGGGTAGTGTTAGTCTATGGGTTGTGTTAGTCTATGGGTAGTGTTAGTCTATGGGTTGTGTTAGTCTATGGGTAGTGTTAGTCTATGGGGTAGTGTTAGTCTATGGTGTACTGTTAGTCTATGGTGTAGTGTTAGTCTATGGGTAGTGTTAGTCTATGGTGTAGTGTTAGTCTATGGGTAGTGTTAGTCTATGATGTAGTTTTAGTCTATAGGTAGTGTTAGTCTATGGGTTGTGTTAGTCTATGGGTAGTGTTAGTCTATGGGTAGTGTTAGTCTATGGTGTAGTGTTAGTCTATGGGTAGTGATAGTCTATGGTGTAGTGTTAGTCTATGGTGTAGTGTTAGTCTATGGGCAGTGTTAGTCTATGGTGTAGTGTTAGTCTATGGGTAGTGTTAGTCTATGGGTTGTGTTAGTCTATGAGTAGTGTTAGTCTATGGTGTAGTGTTAGTCTATGGTGTAGTGTTAGTCTATGGTGTAGTGTTAGTCTATGGGCAGTGTTAGTCTGTGGGGTAGTTTTAGTCTATGGGTAGTGTTAGTCTATGGGTAGTGTTAGTCTATGGGCAGTATGTATATAAGTAGTGATAGTCTATGGGCAGTATGTATATGTATATAAGTTGAAACTCCTGAGCAGAGATCGACAATTTGGCCATCGCATGAGACTAAAATCGGCGATCGCGTATGAAGGAAATCTCAATTCATGGCCACGTCCGATGCTTGGAGCAATAATCATGTTTGTCCATAGGTTTGCTTGAGTAATAAACCATTACGCACCCTTGCTTGTGCTATTTTTCGTGCGGCCTTCCGGACAACGGATATTGTTTTCTTTTTACAAGAGAGTGGTGAAATAATCATTATGTCTATGTGATGAAGATTGATAATGCACAAGAATGATATTGATGATATTGCTGTTGCTGCTGGTGATGATGTGAAGGTGGAAATATCGCAAGGTGGTGGAAGAGCATGGAATAATTACGACCATTATGATGAAATGGGATTGATGGTACATTAATGATTACGGAGATATGACAGGCTGATGAGAGATTATGGCGTGAGTGTCTCCCTTCTCTCACGTGAGTGTCTCCCTTCTCCCACGTGACTGTCTCCCTTCACTCACGTGACTATCTCCCTTCTCTCACGTGACTGTCTCCCTTCTCTCACGTGACTGTCTCCCTTCTCTCACGTGACTGTCTCCCTTCCCTCACGTGACTGTCTGCCTTCCCTCACGTGAGTGTCTCTCTTCTCTCACGTGACTGTCTCCCTTCTCTCACGTGACTGTCTCCCTTCCCTCACGTGACTGTCTCCCTTCTCTCACGTGACTGTCTCCCTTCTCTCACGTGACTGTCTCCCTTCCCTCATGTGACTGTCTCTCTTCCCTCACGTGACTGTCTCCCTTCTCCCACGTGACTGTCTCCCTTCTCTCACGTGACTGTCTCCCTTCTCTCACGTGACTGTCTCCCTTCACTCACGTGACTGTCTCCCTTCTCTCACATCACTGTCTCCCTTCTCTCACGTGACTGTCTCCTTCTATCACGTGACTGTCTCCCTTCCCTCACGTGACTGTCTCCCTTCTCTCACGTGACTGTCTCCCTTCTCTCACGTGACTGTCTCCCTTCTCTCACGTGACTGTCTCCCTTCACTCACGTGACTGTCTCCCTTCCCTCACGTGACTGTCTCCCTTCTCTCACGTGACTGTCTCCCTTGTCTCACGTGACTGTCTCCCTTCTCTCACGTGACTGTCTCCCTTCACTCACGTGACTGTCTCCCTTCCCTCACGTGACTGTCTCCCTTCTCTCACGTGACTGTCTCCTTCTCTCACGTGACTGTCTCCCTTCTCTCACGTGACTGTCTCTCTTCTCTCACGTGACTGTCTCTCTTCTCTCACGTGACTGTCTCCCTTCTCTCACGTGACTGTCTCCCTTCTCTCACGTGACTGTCTCTCTTCTCTCACGTGACTGTCTCCCTTCTCTCACGTGACTGTCTCCCTTCTCTCACGTGACTGTCTCCCTTCTCTCACGTGACTGTCTCTCTTCTCTCACGTGACTGTCTCTCTTCTCTCACGTGACTGTCTCCCTTCTCTCACGTGACTGTCTCCCTTCTCTCACGTGACTGTCTCCCTTCTCTCACGTGACTGTCTCCCTTCTCTCACGTGACTGTCTCCCTTCTTTTACGTGACTGTCTCCATTCTCTCACGTGACTGTCTCTCTTCTCTCACGTGACTGTCTCTCTTCTCTCACGTGACTGTCTCCCTTCTCTCCCGTGACTGTCTCACTTCTCTCCCGTGACTGTCTCACTTCTCTCACGTGACTGTCTCCCTTCTCTCACGTGACTGTCTCTCTTCTCTCACGTGACTGTCTCTCTTCTCTCACGTGACTGTCTCCCTTCACTCACGTGACTGTCTCCCTTCTCTCACGTGACTGTCTCTCTTCTCTCACGTGACTGTCTCCCTTCTCTCACGTGACTGTCTCTCTTCTCTCACGTGACTGTCTCCCTTTTCTCACGTGACTGTCTCCCTTCACTCACGTGACTGTCTCCCTTCCCTCACGTGACTGTCTCCCATCTCTCACGTGACTGTCTCCCTTGTCTCACGTGACTGTCTCCCTTCTCTCACGTGACTGTCTCCCTTCACTCACGTGACTGTCTCCCTTCCCTCACGTGACTGTCTCCCTTCTCTCACGTGACTGTCTCCTTCTCTCACGTGACTGTCTCCCTTCTCTCACGTGACTGTCTCTCTTCTCTCACGTGACTGTCTCTCTTCTCTCACGTGACTGTCTCCCTTCTCTCACGTGACTGTCTCCCTTCTCTCACGTGACTGTCTCTCTTCTCTCACGTGACTGTCTCCCTTCTCTCACGTGACTGTCTCCCTTCTCTCACGTGACTGTCTCCCTTCTCTCACGTGACTGTCTCTCTTCTCTCACGTGACTGTCTCTCTTCTCTCACGTGACTGTCTCCCTTCTCTCACGTGACTGTCTCCCTTCTCTCACGTGACTGTCTCCCTTCTCTCACGTGACTGTCTCCCTTCTCTCACGTGACTGTCTCCCTTCTTTCACGTGACTGTCTCCATTCTCTCACGTGACTGTCTCTCTTCTCTCACGTGACTGTCTCTCTTCTCTCACGTGACTGTCTCCCTTCTCTCCCGTGACTGTCTCACTTCTCTCCCGTGACTGTCTCACTTCTCTCACGTGACTGTCTCCCTTCTCTCACGTGACTGTCTCTCTTCTCTCACGTGACTGTCTCTCTTCTCTCACGTGACTGTCTCCCTTCACTCACGTGACTGTCTCCCTTCTCTCACGTGACTGTCTCTCTTCTCTCACGTGACTGTCTCCCTTCTCTCACGTGACTGTCGCTCTTCTCTCACGTGACTGTCTCCCTTTTCTCACGTGACTATCTCCCTTCTCTCACGTGACTGTCTCCCTTCTCTCACGTGACTGTCTCCCTTCCCTCACGTGACTGTCTCTCTTCCCTCACGTGACTGTCTCTTTTCTCCCACGTGACTGTCTCCCTTCTCTCACGTGACTGTCTCCCTTCTCTCACGTGACTGTCTCCCTTCACTCACGTGACTGTCTCCCTTCTCTCACATCACTGTCTCCCTTCTCTCACGTGACTGTCTCCCTTCCCTCACGTGACTGTCTCCCTTCTCTCACGTGACTGTCTCCCTTCTCTCACGTGACTGTCTCCCTTCTCTCACGTGACTGTCTCCCTTCACTCACGTGACTGTCTCCCTTCCCTCACGTGACTGTCTCCCTTCTCTCACGTGACTGTCTCCCTTCTCTCACGTGACTGTCTCTCTTCTCTCACGTGACTGTCTCCCTTCACTCACGTGACTGTCTCCCTTCCCTCACGTGACTGTCTCCCTTCTCTCACGTGACTGTCTCCTTCTCTCACGTGACTGTCTCCCTTCTCTCACGTGACTGTCTCCCTTCACTCACGTGACTGTCTCCCTTCCCTCACGTGACTGTCTCCCTTCTCTCACGTGACTGTCTCCTTCTCTCACGTGACTGTCTCCCTTCTCTCACGTGACTGTCTCTCTTCTCTCACGTGACTGTCTCTCTTCTCTCACGTGACTGTCTCCCTTCTCTCACGTGACTGTCTCCCTTCTCTCACGTGACTGTCTCTTTTCTCTCACGTGACTGTCTGCCTTCTCTCACGTGACTGTCTCCCTTCTCTCACGTGACTGTCTCCCTTCTCTCTCGTGACTGTCTCTCTTCTCTCACGTGACTGTCTCTCTTCTCTCACGTGACTGTCTCTCTTCTCTCACGTGACTGTCTCCCTTCTCTCACGTGACTGTCTCCCTTCTCTCACGTGACTGTCTCCCTTCTCTCACGTGACTGTCTCCCTTCTCTCACGTGACTGTCTCCATTCTCTCAAGTGACTGTCTCTCTTCTCTCACGTGACTGTCTCTCTTCTCTCCCGTGACTGTCTCTCTTCTCTCACGTGACTGTCTCCCTTCTCTCACGTGACTGTCTCCCTTCTCTCACGTGACTGTCTCTCTTCTCTCACGTGACTGTCTCCCTTCTCTCACGTGACTGTCTCCCTTCTCTCACGTGCTTGTGTATTTTAATGTGTTTAACCACTTGACCGTGTAACATGCGAGCGCGGCCGCGCTTGTTTTCGCAGTACGGGTTCGTGAACCACGCCTTGGAGCTGCTCATCCTGAGGACGTATGGAGAGAATGTCTGGGAGAAAATAAAGTAATCCACCACTTCGATCGCATTTCATTAACTTTGACGGCATCTGATCGACCGTGGTTCCAGACCTGCACAACGAGATGGCTTCGCGTACTATTTGCTTCTTTCGGTAAAGTCACGTAGGTATAAAATAAAATAAATCACGACGTTTCAGCAGCAGACCATGCTTTCCCACCTGCTGATGAACGCTTGTGTTGCGCCCGAAACGTCGTGATTTATTTTGTTTTATACCTACGTGACTTTACCGAAAAAGCCAAAGAGAATGGATTCCTGCAGTCACGAAAACTTCAAATCAAGATTGGCTTTGCGTGTTGTCATCCCGCCATGTCACCTGTCACAATGTCCAACACATTCGTAAATAACACTGTGGCCTTTCAAAAAAAGTTACGTCATCGGCGATGTTCGAGGCAATGTCTCTTCTTCTTTGTGGCACAAGAAAGGGCCATTGCCTGAAACGTCACCGACGAAGGCGTTGAGTTAGTGTTGTTACACTGTCCTAGTGGGCTACCACTGCCAACACAGCAGCAGCATCACCATCGTTTATGTCGGGTCATCATCACGGGACTTATGGTGGGACCCCTGTTATGAACGGACGGACAGAGCAAATGCATTCAAGAATTTAAATCTGAGTTGGAAAGCGTTAAGGAACTTGCTATTGAATGGATTCACGTTAAAGCATTGCCTTGCAAAACATCTTACAAATAATTGACAAGCATAGTTGGTTACGTGACCTGGTACGTCCTTAGTTTATATAGCGATTTCTCATTTGACTGACAACATGTGCACAATGAGCCGTGCCTAACTGCTTGTAAAGTTGCACTGATTAAGATACCTACAGTAGGAAGGTGTTGAGCGAACTCCAGTTAAAGGACAGTTTTTTTGTATTCGTACTTGCAGTGCAGCAAAACTCGCAGGCGATAGAACAATCATACTGCGATATATACAATTTATAAAGGTACAGTCTGTTCTACTATAACGCGGTAGTTGCGTTTCTGAAGAACAACAAATTATGGAATAATAATGTAATAAATAATATGTAATATAGATGTCAAGCACAGTTCACGATAACGCGTGAGATGCTTATGCAGGCCGATCAAAGACTGAGGTACGTGGGTAGCATCTAGAAGAATCCAGCAGCATCCCAATGCCTTGTGCGATGCTACGCCGAGGCAGCCGCTACGACCGCTTATTCCTACTCGTGCAACGTAGTTCCATTCACTCGATTGCGTTATATCCAATTCGCATCCGAGGTTATAAAAAAATTCGTTCCCTAATACATCCATATCCAATTCGCGTCGTGAAAACTACGCGTTATACGAGAACAGACTGTACAATAAACTTTTATCGCGATAATTATTGTATCATGAAAACTAATCACACCGCGGCGACCATAATCCGGACCGAGTGGGAGAGATTGTCGCTTTTGCCTCTACAGGAAGGAAGCGCAGTTGGACCTGGAGGGGCAGTTCCTCGTGAGATTCATCTACGACGATTCCCAGACATACGACCTCATCTCCGCAGCCAGCAAGGTTCTAGGTATGCTTGGGGTTCACAACGCTGCGTACGGTACCACCAATTCTCTATAGGGGCGCAGTGGTGGTAGAATGTTAACTACCTCGCCTGGTATATACGAGGTCGTGGGTTCGAGCCCGACCCTGACAACTGTTTGAAGTTTGCGTGTTCTCCCCGTGGTCGTGTGGATTTTTCTCCGCATCGTCCGGTTTTTTCCTTCCACATTGACAGTCAAATTTATAATCAAATTTATAATCAAATTTTATAATCAAATTGACAATCAACATCAAGCGTTTAGAGCTACGTAGCAGCTCAGTGGGCCTTACCTGGTAAGATAAAAACTAGTTTTAGTTTTTTTACAGCTGCGTGTGGGGCATTCACAAGCTGACACCAGATTACTGAAACAAAAAGCACTCAGCCTTTGTGCGTTATGCAATAACCAATCAACAGTTCCTGAAGAACTGCACGCGCAAAGGCTGAGTGCTCTTTGTACACGTTCCTGCGAGTGTTGTTTGAAGATCATAGTTTCCCAGCCTGTAATAACAATCTGTTATAGATGGGGTTTCTAGACTTTTTACCGATTTGAATGTAGGCCATTACTTATACTGGCCTCTGTGCAGATACTATACATCTTGCCTGTCACAATGCACACAGATGGTAATTGCTTTGTGTGCCCTCGAATGAAATTAATTCCATCGCTCACGATGCATATGGGGAATCATGCACGGCGACAAATAACGGATAAATCTCATGGAAATCGAACTGGTCCCTATGATGGACACGAAACGTATGAAAGTGGCGATTCATTTTCTCGTGAATATCTCAGCTGCCCATTTTTTATGAAAAAAAATCGATATAATCTGTGGCCAAAAAATTAAAATGTGCAAAGTCATGCGCTTAGTGAAGGTTGTTGCCTCGTCCTGGGAACGGCTGCTCCCTTTTATAACGGTGTCAGAGAATGCGAAGAGATGGGACCACCATTCAGCATTCGTACTGTATTATTGTTGTTATGTAACGGGACCCCAAGTTTCTCTCGCCGGGACTAGCTGTTGTGGACACGCATTAGAAACTGAAACCTCAGCAGAGACTAGCCTAGACAAAAGCAGTTGTGGCAAGTGCTGTTCGCGGCGAACCTATGAAGGAGGGCACGGCGCACTCTGAGGTGGTGCGGTCAGAACCAGGCCTGGCAACTTTTGCCGACCCACTGTCGATTTTCACACTGGGCACCAGGCAGGCCCAAACTGGCCATATGACAGCAGCACCATGGGGCAAATACCCGGTGGGCCGGTCCATTCTGAGGGCCGGTGGGCCCGGTTTGTGTGAACAAATTGAAAATCTGATCAGAGTAAAAAATATATACTGTATATCATGTTGCTTTATTAAAATATTTTATTAATTAATTGCTTATTTATAATCACAGTTGGCATTGAGTCCCCATATTCGACTGCCCCAAAGATTATTCCACACCGGCCCCCCATTTGATTTTTTTAATCAGCCCAAATGCGCCAATAAGTGTCACAAGGCAAAATCACGCTCATATGCTACATCGCAAATCCAGCTCACTTCATAACCCGAATTTTGGCCGGTGTGTGTTTACAAATGCCTGGTGCCAATTTTTTTTTAGTCCCAGCCCATCAACACTGGCACCAGTAACACATTTTCTTGCGGCTGAGTCGACCCAGAGTGCGCTGTACCGCAGGCGTGGAATCTAGCGAGATCCTGCGCACGTTCGGGCAGATGTTCGTCGAGTTCTGCCAGGAGTCGGGGTACGACACCATCCTCCGAGTGCTGGGCTCCAACGTCCGGGACTTCCTGCAGGTTGGTACAATAAAGGCACGAGTATCGTCATCGTCATCATCATCAATCATCGTCATCATCCGCATCTCCGATTCGTACGATTGCCGACGTACGGTGCGAAAGTTCAACATTCATTCATACATTGGACATAGTCTATTCATCTGGATGAAAGTCCCCTCAAGCTGTCACCATACCCCATAGTCTCATGATGCCACCGCTATCCATCTCTCGCCTGAACACGAGCCGGCTTAATCGCTCCATCTCCGCGGTAAGGATCCTCTCTGGAAAGTTATCTTTATTTGGCTGCCGCTCCATCGTTGGTGTTGACTACCGACCATCATTGCAATATACAATACTGTACATTGTGAGCGTGCTTTACACGATGAAAACAAAACTATAAAAAATATTTTACCAGGTAAATCTCACTGGGCTGTATAGCTCTTTTCAGAAGCGACTTGGCCACAAATGATAGCTCAACGAAGTGGCTTATCACGTGTAAATTCATAGCAGCCAAATACTGCAAAAAGCGTGTTTCTAAATGTTGAGGGAAAACCCAAAGAAAAATCCACACGACCACGGGGAGAACATATAGACTCCAGATATACATGCGTCAAGGTCGGGATCGAACCCAAGGCCTCCTGCATAGCAGGCAAGGTAGCTAACATCTCCTAGCCACCGTGGCGCCCAAACAGCCATTATCCTTTGTGTGATTTACCCTGCCCTGGCCCACTTTCATTCATGAGTAAACATTATTACACTCAGAAATCACTTAAAACCATCTAACAATCTATGACATTACACAACAACAAAAACACTCATACTACACGTATATAATTAAGCTATACCCATTTCTAAATGCTGTGGCTGTGGGCAGTAGAGGGCAGTGCATAAACATCTATTGGTATTCGATGCTTAGAGGGCAGTGCATAAACATCTATTGGTATTCGATGCTGTAAGTATTTGTTCCCATTTCTATACGTATCACCTTCACCAGCCCGCACTGACCAGCGTGGTGAAGTATGGTAAGCACGGTTGGCTACGTACGATGCGAACGAAGTTCAACGTACATACATACGTGCAAATCAAGAGGAGAGAGCTGTGGATGAGACATGCCGGTGAGTGATCTGATGAACGCGAGATAAGCGAGCAGGGCGGTGACAGGTCATCACGGGAGTGCGGCTGAGCCCTTTCAGAAGTTAGCGGTTAGAGTCCCACATCCACCCTGGTTAATAAACTCTGCGTATGTACCAGCTGTACATTCCCGTCTGCTTCGCAGCGGACGTTGCAGATCCCGTGACATGGTCCAAAGTTGCCAAAAAATGTGACATTACCCTAGGAGAATTACTCATTTGGGAAACGCAGAGCATCATCACCGCCTCTACTTTGAAGACATGGCAGAACCCTCCTGAAGAGGAGTCTTGAGGCTCAGTGAGGCTTTCCTGTGTAAATAAATATTATTGACATGTAGGCTTTCGTGAGCATTATTATCTGTAATAAAGCAATTTTTGGGGGGTTATATTTCGTAAATATTAATGTAGTAACGAATCGGCACGTATTGTCTACGTGACTAATTGGCCGTGTTGGGTGGTGGCAGGTTCAACGACACGCTTACACTTACGCGATTTAACCCAACAAAAAAAGAAACCTTTACTGTGAGTTACATTCTTTAATTTTAATTCCATCGTTGAATTGATTCTGCTGGAAGCTCTGCTTAAACCGAACGAAAGCCAGAGTCGCGCTTCGCAAGACAGGGGCTCCCGTCGCGACGCCTCTCGTTTCCTTCAATCCCGACCATCGGGCAGAACCTGGACGCGCTGCACGACCACCTGGCGACGGTGTACCCGGGCATGCGGGCGCCGTCGTTCCGCTGCTCGGACGTGCCGGGCGAGCGCGCTCTGCTGCTGCACTACTACTCGGAGCGCCAGGGGCTGGAGGACATCGTCATCGGCATCGTGCGCACCGTCGCGAGCCGCCTGCTCGGGACCAGCGTCGACATGCAGGTCGGGGTGGGGGGTGCTGGGGGCGGGCGTCGTCGCAGCCACGAATGGCACCGTCGTAGTGGTAGTGGTCGTGGTTGTCTCTCTAGCTGGGCTTGAATCCAATTAGCGAGGCGACCGATTGCTCTTCCGTGTCGGTTTGATTGCTTGTACAGCAAGGCCGTAGCCATGGAGTCAACATTGGGGGGGGACCAAATCTTCCAGGGGGTCTGGGGGTCCCCCCCCCCATAAAAAATACTAAATTTGAAAACTAATCTCCTGCCATTTCCTGCCTAAAATATAACAAAAATTCACTAACACATAGGATGGACTTTTTTTTTTACAATAATGTCTAATAGTGTTATTGTATTACATTGCCCTGTTTTTTCTTTTTACCTTTTCTTGTTTCATTGTATGTAATGGTAGAGATTAGGGGTTTATAAAGTACAACCATAACCACAATCATATACACAGAAATCTATTTTATAGCAATATATGGGGGGGGGCATTTTGAGCATATTTGGATATTGGGGGGGATGTGTCCCCCCCAATATTTATTACAAATACGGCCTTGATGTACAGGATGTTGAACCCCAACTATCGGCGAGTTGCTGGATCATTAATCACCCTGGCTGCTTCACGATTCATTCTATCGAGTGCGGTGAGCTGGGAACTGGCAGCTTTACCCCGGATACGACAACAGCAGGATTCCAACCTACGCCGAATTTGTGTTTTGTATTCGTACTGTACGTAGCCAACCGTGGCTCACTGGTGGTATGGGGGAGGGACAACAAACTAAACACAAAAAGCAGTTCTAAAGAAATTAGTTTTCCATCTAGATGTTGCTCAGGATGATGATGACGATTACATTGACTTTGCCGATGATAATGATGATAACGGGAAGAAAACAAGATGATGGGAATGTGGAAATGCTCGGGTAGATTTAACAACACACAAAGGTGTTGCTCACAAACAGCAGAAAGGCACAACTCCCATCATGCTGAGTGTTATGTAAAATATATTTGCTTCTAGCCTCGCGCCTGTTCCTGTTGTGATGGGCTTTCTCATAATTTTACAGATTTTGGATTTAAAGTGATATTGCAGGACAGTTTAAATTGATATGCCTGGACAATTAATCACAATGACGATATTGAATAACGAGTGAACTGCGTGAACAATTCACGCGACGACGATGGTCCATTTCGCTTGGTCATTGGTGGGTTTTTTTCGCCATTGGTTGACACCACCGCTCGACCCGTCTTCCTCTCTCGCTCTCCTCGCTATCCACCAGGTGGTCACCCAGAAGGGCGAAGACTCAGACCACGTGCAGTTCATGATCCGGGAAAGTGGCAGTAGCAGCGGCGGCGGTGTCAGCGGCGGCGGCAGCGGTGGAATTGGAGGGGCGGTGTCGATTGAGGAGACCGAGGAGGGACCTCAGGCCCGTGGCCCTAGGCGCCAGCCACGCTTGGGGCCCAGCACCTTCTGCGACGCCTTCCCCTTCCACCTGATGTTCGACCCGGAGCTCGTGCTCACGCAGTGTGGACACGCGATCGCACGTGCGCTGCCGCAGGTCAGGACAGCCGGCGTTAGTAGCGCCGCTCTCGACTTGCCCCTCACCGTAAATTAAACTCTTTTTATTTTACCAGGAAAGGCCCACTGAGCTTTGTAGCTCTTTTTCAGAAGCGACCTGGCCACAAATGATAGCTCAACGAAGTGGAGTATCATCACTTGGAAATGTATACCCGCCAAATACTCTAAACGCATGATGTTGATTCTAAATGTGGAGGGAAAAAGCGGAGGACCCGGCGAAAAATTAACGCGACCTCAGGAAGAGAGACACGCAAACTCCAAACATACAGGCATGCGTCAGGGTCGGGATCGAACCCACGACCTCCTGTAAACCAGACGAGGTAGTTAACATCTCCTAGCCACCGTGGCGCCCACTGATCGCATATCGAATGTTCGGCAGGTGTGGCGACTGGTCCCAAGGTCCTCACATGTGCATTCCCTCCGCCCATGCAGTTGCCCCAACAGTCTCTATGGCTCTACGGGAGCATCGTTGGCTTTCCGTGTGTATGTGTGCACGCATGTGTCAGTGCGGTAGCGTAGCGGTTAGTGCGCTGCGCTACGAACCCGGCGACCTGGGTTCGATCCTCGCTCACGGTCAACACCGGTGACGATTATCTGAATCAGTCCTGAGCCTTCCCTAGGTTTACTCAGCCTCAAATGAGTATCTGGTGCAGTATATAAACATCGCTACTAGGGAGACAAAGGCGGCCGGGCATGGTGTTGGCTACCCACCCCCTCGTTTGCCGTGCCATTCTTCATAGGTGCTCGCTAACAGCACTTGCCCCAACCGTATTTTAAGGCTATGCGGGGGATCTTTGTCTCTGTGTGTCAGTGCAGTTGCAGCCCGGCAGCTGTAATCTGTTGTCCGTGTTCTCGCTCGTTCGACCGCACATGGAGTTCACCTTCAACGGGATACTCTCCCACATCAACACCGTCTTCGTGCTGCGCACCAAGGTCGGTACCTCTAACCCAAGCGATAATGCCCACTGCTCTCTTATTGACGTTTGAGTGTAACAGCGATGAAGCCAAGAGGCATTGTTCAGGCCGCTGTGGACGTGGAGCCAGAGCAATGTGGGCAGTCCGGAAGAGACCACTACCGAGATCTGTCACTCAATCCGATGCAAAATTGTTCTTGAGACGGTTTCAAGAGTTGAAATTAAACTCTCAGCAACTCCGTTCTCGATCTGGGGTTGTTAATGACATCATTAGAGCTACAACATTTATCGGAGACTCAACCAGGACACACAATAAGCTGGCGTCCCCTCCCTCGATAAACCCCGCCCAATTTCTCACATTCAAGTTATGTTCGATAAACTAAAAACTCCACGCAGCGGTGGGATTGAAACCCACGCCTCCAAAGAGACTGGAGCCTTAATCCAGCACGTTAGATCGCTCGGTCACGATTGGTGCTGTGCTGTCATGACATTAAAAGTGGGTGTCTTGCACGCAACAGTTGTTCACGTCTATGCGAGGGCCGCGTCTGGTCACTGGGCTGTGTGTGGTCACGGGGGCTGTGTGTGTGGTCACGGGGATGTGTGTGGTCACTGGGGCTGTGTGTCTGGTCACTGGGGCTGTGTGTGTGGTCACTGGGGCTGTGTGTGTGGTCACTGAGGCTGTGTGTGGTCACTGGGGCTGTGTGTGGTCACTGGGGCTGTGTGTGTGGTCACTGGGGCTGTGTGTGGTCACTGGGGCTGTGTGTGTGGTCACTGGGGCTGTATGTGGTCACTGGGGCTGTGTGTGGTCACTGGGGCTGTGTGTGTGGTCACTGGGGCTGTGTGTGGTCACTGGGGCTGTGTGTGGTCACTGGGGCTGTGTGTGTGGTCACTGGGGCTGTATGTGGTCACTGGGGCTGTGTGTGGTCACTGGGGCTGTGTGTGTGGTCGTCGCCCGCAGGAAGGGGTTCTGTCCGTGGGCCCTGATGACTGTGAGCTGTCCGAGGATGAAGTGGGGAGCCTGAGACTCAAGGGGCAGATGGTGCACCTGCCAGAGGCTCAGAACCTGCTCTTCCTTTGCTCACCTAGGTGAGCGGGTTATCATCATGGCCACCACCGTAGTCATCAGCACCATCATCATCGGTGGTGGTGGTGGCTCTAATTATTTAACCTGTGCTGCTGGTTGTGATAGTGCTGCTGCTGGTGGTGGCAGTTGTGGGCGACTGTGGTGGTCATAATGGAAGCAGCGATGATGGTGGTGGCGTTGGCGGTGACCGTGGTTACTGGTGGCTGCGGCGGCGGTGTCTGTAATGCGACCACGTCTACCGCCCTTCGATGACCAACCCCCCCCCCCCCCCTTTGCGACGGTGGGGCTCCTCCTGCCGGTGCCGGTGGCGGGCGCCAGCGTGATGAACCTGAGCGCGCTGCTTCGCCGCGGGCTGTGCCTGAGCGACCTGCCGCTGCACGACGCGAGCCGCGAGCTGGTGCTGCTGGGCGAGCACTTCCGCGAGGAGTACCGGCTGACGGCTGCCCTCGAGGAGCTCACCGACCGGCTGCAGCACGCTCTGCGCGCCCTCGACGACGAGAAAAAAAAGACCGACCGGTGCGAGACGTCCACTTGAACGCACGCACGCACGCGGACACAAGGAGACAAGGAGACACAGGTTGCCCCCCGCTCCCCACACGGACGTTAGCGAGCGCCTACGGAGCCAGGCACGAGCCACGTACGGAGGATGATGTGGCCAGCGCCGGGGGCCGAAGGCCGCTTTTTGTCTCTCCCACCCACCGCCGATGTCGAACAAAATTCGCTGGAGACTCCTCTGAGGCCGAGTCGACTTGGAAAGAGACCCCGGGAGCCAGTTCAGATTATCCATAGTAAAGTTGATTTTTTGGGGGGGGGAGTTAGATTGCGGTAAATATATCACCGCTGATGATGGCCATGGCCAGTGATCGACCCAGGAGGTAAACGCCCCTTTGAGGTGACTGCGGCACTCGGCGCAGGTTGTTGAATGCGAGGAGCTTAGAGTTAAAGCACAATGAGAGATATGCTGCATTGCCCTCTGTTGCCCGTGACATAGTGCCCCACAGCCTATTGCATCCTGTTTGTGCGTGGTGGTGGTCACCCATCCGTGTACTATCCAGGATCATCCTCAACTTTAGACTTAAAACTTTCGTGACTGCAGGATTTAATATTCTTTGGTTCTTTTGGTAAATTCACGTAGATAGAAAAAATGAAAGTAAATAAAATTAAAATTACGACGTTTCGATCACAACACAAGCGATCGTCATTTTTTTGTTTCCTCCTGATGACGATCACTTTTGTTGTGATCGAAACGTCGTAGTTTTGATTTTATTTACTTACATTTTTTCTATCTACGTGACTTTACCGAAAGAACCAAAGAATAGGATCATCCTTGCTGAGCTTCCGAGATTCCACAGGTTCGCAAGCGTTATCTCATCTATATTATTTTGCTGCTATAAATTTTGATGTGGTAAGCCACTTCGTCAAGCTATCATTGGTGGCCAGGTTGCTTCTAAAAAAGAAGCTAATAGCTCAGTGGGCTTTACCTGGTAAAATTATATCATTGCCCAGGTCGACGTAGCCCTCAAAGGTTTGGGACACATCCCGACAGACGTGGCAAGATCTGAAATCGCTGCTATCCTCAAAAACGCAAAGAAATCCATTAGCAACATCAGCAAGGACAAGCGTTTTGAACTCGCTCAATTAAAAAAGAGAGGTAACATTGTCATCCTCTCAGCCGACAAGGGCAATGCCACTGTCATCATGGATGAAACCACTTACAACAACAAAATTCAGGACCTTCTTAATGATGGCAGCCATACCAAAATCAATAGGGATCGCACCAACTGCCTAGCTACTAAAACCAACAATATCATCACTAATTCGACTTCTCTAATCGAACCGACCAAGCAGCTCTCTCTAAAACCTTCGGCTGCTAGACCACCTAGGTTTTATGACCTTCCAAAAATCCACAAAGAAGGTATTCCTGTGTGTCCTATCGTCTCCACCATTAACTCACCCACCTACAAACTGGCCCAATTTCTGTCTGAGACCCTGCTTCCTTTCACGGGCAAGACCATCTCAGCTGTACTTAGCTCACTTGGTTTCTCTAATCAAGGACATCTCACTGTCTCCAGATGATTGCTAGTCCGTTTCGGTGTAGTCTCCCTGTTCACCAAGGTACCTGTACCTTATACCATTGCAATCATTGAAGACTTGGTCCAACAGGGACTAAATCCAGATGTACCAACTTTGGTAAGGCACTGCCTTACCAACACTTACATCACCTGGAATGGTACATTCTACAAACAAAATGAGGGTACCCCAATGGGTTCTCCCTTATCGCCAGTGGTTGCGAATGTTTTCATGGAGAAATTTGAGACAGATGCCATCCAGACACCCTACATCCTTCCTTGTGGAAGAGATACGTAGATGACACGTTCGTCATCTGGCCACATGGCCTGCCAGCACTGAACCAATTTCTCAACCACATCAATTCCATACACCCATCTATTAAATTCACCATGGAAGTGGAAAATGATGGCAAGCTACCATTCCTGTATGTTTTGATCGAGAAGAGACCTGATGGCTTGTTCGGGCACTGTCTACAGGAAGGCCACCCACATGGATGCCTATCTAAAGCCTGACTCCCACCACCATCCCTCATCAAAACACTACACCATAGGGCCCGTTGCATCTCCGACCAGTACCACCTAGCCAGTGAACTGGAGCACGTACACCAAGCCCTTAGGATGAATGGATATTCTGACCGTACAATCCGCAAAGCTGTCTCCCCAGCTATGGGGAGACAACCATCTGAGAATCCAATCAAACCCATCATTTTGCCATATATAGCAGGGGTTACCAAAACTATTTCCAAAATCTTAAACAAACACAAGATCCAGGTTCGTTTCATCACAGTACACAAAATCCGTGAGTTGATCCCATGTATAAAGGATGTGATTTCTGACATGCAGTACCCTGGTGTCTACAAACTGAGTTGTGGTTGCGGCAGCAGTTACATTGGGGAAACGAAACGACATCTCTCAGACCGCGTTCGCGAACATAAGGCAGATCTGAAACACGGTAGGACCAATACCTCTGTCGTTGCTGATCATTGTTTTAACACTGAACTCACACAAATTGTATTTTTCCAAGACGGAGGTACTCTGCAAACCCACCGGCTATCATCAAAGATTTGTTCATGAAGCCCACCAGATACATAAATACAGACACAACTTCAACCGAGAAGATGGGTACAAACTGAGCAATCATTGGAAGGACGTTATTAACCAAGTAAAATCTTAACTGACTGTGATGTTTCCATCCTACCTGCCTATGTCAGCTGTTATTTCCGACTCTTTGTGTGTGTCTCTCTCTCTTTGTGTCTCCCTCTCATCATGTGTACCTCTTGCTCTTAAGGGTTTTTTGTTCCTGTTGCCCGGCTCTCTGACATGCTAATCTTCTCATTGGCACGCCTCTGGTGGCTGGGCCGTCTCACATTGACATGCATAATCTCTCACATTTACAGCTTCAAGTCAAGATTTACGTCCAAATTCTTTCTCTAGCTCTGCCCACTTATCCTTGGGTTGGGCCCACCAAAAATCCTATATAAACTCTTGTTGCAGCAGCTCTTTCTCCTACGTCATCAGCCCTCCTGCTGTGTTTGTTTCATACCTCATCGGATTCCTCCCCCAGTATAAGTAAATATTCCGATTATTCTGATTATATATCATGGGACCTTTTTGCCAGCATCAAAGTATGAAAAATTAGAGTAGGTATTACCCTTTCTGGAAATAAAACAGGAGGCGTGTTAATATGTTCAAACACAAAATAGATTATACCTTTTGCGAGGAATAATCTATGCATTAACCATACATACTTGTGGCAATAACATGCAAATAAACATGCTCTGATAATAATGTACGCATTGTCTTTGAAACTGATTGGCCTACACCAGAGACAGTTTTCTTTATGGCCTAGTCTCACCACCAGTGTCAGATCAGAGAACGCCAAAAGGCGAACAGCACAAAGACAATGCACGTATCAGAGCACTTATAGCTCGGGGTGAGCAGCCATATCATGGGACCTTTTGTTTTCCATTATGTTAAGATGTTCAAACACCAAATAGATTATATATTTTGCTGATGCTGTTCCGAGCGATTTGGTCGCTGTACCCTGTGGCCGCGTTGCGCTGCGTTAAACCCTTCGCGTGTGCCCTTTGGGTGGCCGGTCGCAGGCTCCTCTACTCCGTGCTGCCTCCATCCGTGGCAAATGAGCTGCGTCACAAGCGGCCCGTGCCGGCGCGTAGGTACACACAGGTGAGCTCTCCAGCGCGCGGACTCCACCGTCCGCACACACACAAACTAAACTATATAACCTCAAGGGGAAAGGAGGAGGAAATTCGAGGCCAGATGGTCCCTCCTTATACAACAGCTGAAATGAGTTAAGCAGGATGGAGGGGTCGGGAGACATTGACCGAGAATAAGGGGCATAGCCACTGGAAATTATACGGGAGTCGGAATCAGAGGGTTGGAAAGAAAAAAATAATCGTTTAGGTCGCTTCTGGTGTTTTTATTTTCTTTATATCAGGCATGCTTTGGTTATATCCCTCTCTCTCTCTCTCCTCTTGTCATCCCTTCCCTCTTACTTAAAAAGTAAAGTTACCCTGTCCCCTTTCGGTGAGACCCAGTATGGTTTGGGGCAGCGAGCCCATTCCCTATCTGCTTTTCACAAACGGTTTGGATTAATGTTGACGGTGTGTGTGTGTACGTGCATCACAACGTGATGTATCGGGCCCCCACATTGCCTCAATAGAAAAAAAAATGTTAACCTAAAGGATAAAAACTATGTTTTTATTGTACCAGGCAAGAAGGCCCCTCTGAGCTGCTATGCAGTTACTCTTTTGTCAGAAGTGACCTGGCCAGCACAAATTATAGCTCAACCAAGTGGGCTCATCATCATGTGGAAACTTAAAGGAGCAGAATACTCTTAAGTGCACGTTGTTTCTAAAATATGGAAATGTATAGCAGCTGCCACAATTGATCTACAGGTATTCGCATTGATCCCTTAGCTTCACGCTGCATTCATTGCTGTTTTGGTTTTAATTTGTTTCATCACAATTATACAAAAATAATAATTTGTGAATGGAATTATGAATCTTTAAAAGTGACAATTAAATAACAAATATGTCGTCTATACACCTCTAATGTTGACGCACGTTGTATTTAAGGGGTACCTGTAAGCGCTGTTATTGCATATTGGAAGAAATTAGAATTGAAATCCAAGCATGTCAGGAGTAAACATCCTAAACTAGTTAATGCTAAACTATTTTTTTTATTTTAACCGGTAAGGCCCCCTGAGCTATGTAGCTCTTTTTCAGAAGCAACCTGGCTACAAATGATTGCTCAAGGAAGTGGCTTATTGCATGAAAATTTATAGCAGCCAAATACTCTAAACGCTTGTTTGTAAATGTGAAGGGAAAAACTAGAGAACCCGTAGAAAAAATCCACGCGACCACAGGGAGAGAGAGACACGCAAACTCCAAATATACAGTAGCTGTCAGGGTCGGCATCGAAACCACAACCTCCTGCATACCAGGCGAGGTAGTTTAGATCTCCAAGGCACCGCGGTGCCACCCGGTGCGTTACGCGAATAAGCAAGGCAGCTGGGCAGGTTGGAATTTGACGCTACCAAGACGTTCCGACGCGGCCAGGATAGTCCTGTTTTTGTGAAATTTTAAACTAAACTATTTTGTATTTTACCAGGTAAGGCCCACTGAGCTTCAAAGCTCTTTTCAGAAGCGACCCGGCTATCACAAATGATCTTGTCACGAAGTGGCTTTTTTGTGGAAATTTAAAGCACCCAGATACTCTAAATGCGTGATGTTGATTCTAAATTTGGAGAGAAAAACCGGAGGACCCAGAGAAAAATCCACACGAATATGCAAACTCCAAATATACAGGCGTCAGGATTGAGATTTAACCCACGACCCCCTGTATACCCGGCAAGGTAGTTAAAATCTTGCCACCACATGCAGAATATACCCAAGATTGATGATTAATCTCGACTTGCAAATTATGCTGGAATTCCTGTTGTGCTTTACTGTTAAAGAAACTTTAGTTTTTTTATCTGAGTGTGATATCATTTATTTCCGGTATGCACACAAGTTTTACTGTTGTTGAATTGCATTTTCAGCTCAATAAAAATGCAAGATTGATGTTGTGTATATGTATTATCAATCCATTAATGGGTGAAAGCCTCTCCATGCCAGTTGTTTGACAATACTTCACCACACTGGTGAGTGTAGGTGTCCCAGGATCAATTCAGATATCACTCGCCACTCCTGTAAACTGCGGCCATGAATCAAACTCAGGCCACCAGATCTGTAGCGCCGTGCGCTAACTACCACGCCGAGGCTAATACCCAGCTGTATTGGGGCGATCGCTAGGTTGGGTCAGCCTTAAATGAGTACCTGGTACAGTGCGTGAACATCTCTGGAGACAAAGGCGGCGGCCGGGCACACCGCCCCCTCGTGTGCCATGCCGGCCTTAATAGGCGCTCGCTAACAGCACTTGCCCCCGCAGCCTGTGTAAGCCACACGTGGGGAGACATTTGTCTTTTTTACCCGCATGCAGGTAACCCTGCTGTTCAGCGGCATCGTGGGCTTCCAGGAGGTTTGCTCGCACCACGCCACCGCCACGGGGGCCATGGTGATCGTGAGGCTCCTCAACGATCTCTACACGCGCTTCGATTGCCTCACCGACCCACGTCGCAACCCTCACGTCTACAAGGCGAGACCCTGACCCCGGCTCAAACCCTCACTCTCACATCTACAAGGCAAGACCCTGACCTTGACCCCGGCTCAAACCCTCACACTCACATCTACAAGGTGAGACTCTGACCCTGACCCCAGCTCGAACCCTCACCCTCACATCTACAAGGCAAGACCCTGACCCCAGCTCGAACCCTCACGTCTGCAAGGCAAGACTCTGACCCTGACCCCAGATCGAACCCTCATTCTCACGTCTACAATGTGAGACCCTGACCCTGGCTCTAACCGTCACACTCACGTCTACAAGGCGAGACCCTGGCCCTAACCCTCATATTTACAAGGCGAGACCCTGACCCTGGCCCAAACCCTCACCCTCACGTCTACAAGGTGAGGTCCAAAACCTGGCTCTAACGTTGACCCTCAGGTCTACAAGGTGAGGTCCTGACCCTGGCTCTAACGTTGACCCTCAGGTCTACAAGGTGAGGTTCTGACCCTGGCTCTAACGTTGACCCTCAGGTCTACAAGGTGAGGTCCTGACCCTGGCTCTAACCCTAACCCCCACAAGGCGATATCTCAACTTTAACCATAATATCATGTCAACGAGGTGAGCCCCTGACCCTCAAGTTTCCAAGGTGAGACCTTAACCCTCACCCTTACATCTACAAGGTGAGACCTTAACCCTGACCTTCACCCTACATCTACAAGGTGAGACCTTAACCCTGACCTTCACCCTACATCTACAAGGTGAGACCTTAACCTTGACCCTCACCCTTACGTCTCCAAGATGAGACCTTAACCATCACCCTCACGTCTCCAAAGTGAGACCTTAACCCTGACCCGAACCCTTACATCTCAAAGGTGAGACCTTATTCTTGACCCTAACCCTCACGTCTCCAAGGTGAGACCTTAACCCTGACCCTCACCCTCACGTATACAAGGTGAGACCATAATCCTGACCCTAACCCTCACGTCTCCAAAGTGAGACCTTAACCCTGACCCTAACCCTCATGTCTCCAAGGTGAGACTTTAACCCCAGCTGTCACCGAGTGCTGGATCATTAATCACCATGGCTGCTTCGCGATGAAGTCTCTCAAGTGCGGTGGGGTAGGAACTGGCAGCTGTACCCAAGATACCACAACAGCAGGATTCCAACCTCGGCATTACTCATGCTTTGTATATCAGCAGTAATAATTGTCCAGAATTTAAGACGAAGGCTTTGTATGGAAGTACGTTGAAATTCGTTTTGCACTGTACGTAGCCAACCGTGATAATCGGAGGTACAGTGTTGAGTCCATGGGTAGTGTTGAGTCTATGGGCAGTGTTGAGTCTATGGGTAGTGTTAGTTCATGGGCAGTGTTGAGTATATTTGTAGTGTTGAGTCTATGGGCAGTGTTGAGTCGATGGGTAGTGTTGAGTCTATGGGCAGTGTTGAGTCTATGGGCAGTGTTGAGTCTATGGGTAGTGTTAGTTTATTGGCAGTGTTGAGTCTATGGGTAGTGTTAGTTTATGGGCAGTGTTGAGTATATTTGTAGTGTTGAGTCTATGGGCAGTGTTGAGTCGATGGGTAGTGTTGAGTCTATGGGCAGTATGGATTTTGAACTTCATTCGCACCATACGTAGCCAACTGTGCTAATCGGAGGCGCGGGCAAGGACAACAAACTAAACACAAAGCTCAACCCCAAATAAATTAGTTTTCAATCCAGATTTAAAAGTGCTTTGGCTACAGAAGAGAAATCTCAAAGCTTCCTCTATGTCGCCTCAAGCGAGATCCTTCTGTTGCTGCCATTGACGACGACGACGACTGTGGTGGTGGATTCTGCGTGGCAGGTGGAGACGGTGGGAGACAAGTACATGACGGTGAGCGGACTGCCGGAGCCGTGCCCGCACCACGCTCGCTCCGTGTGCCGCCTGGCGCTCGACATGATCGACAGCGCGGGCCGCGTGACGGTGGACGGGAAGGCCGTGCAGGTGAGCCGCGCGGGGGCCTGGGTGGTGCCGGGGAGAAAGAGAGAGAGAAAGCGAGAGAGAGAAAGAGGTGTTCACTATTTAATAGGAAGAGGTGACTAAGCCTTTGCCGTTGCAGAGCCAGCGTTTTGAAACAACCGCTGTTTACTTCCTCCCATGAACATCGTAATATCTTCCTTCGAAAAGGATCCTGAAGCAGTGGATTAGTGCCGGACACAACCGCGTTTGTCAATGTGAATTGTAACTCAGCCTTACCCGTGCAAGTACCGATTGTCCAATGTCAATGTGCAAGTTTATTGAGGGACTACTGCTGTGTTGTCTTCGTGTGGTCTGGGACTGTTCTTGCCATTGTTGTGCTGCCTCCTGCAATCTTGGGAATCGGTGTACTTACGCGATTTGAACTGAAAAACTAAAATCTATTTTATTTCCTCATTTTTTGTGATTTGCTTACATTTCATATGCTTTGCACTCCTGTCGTGTTTGTGTGTCACTGTTTGTTTGTTGTAACTTTCTGTTTGTTTGTTGTAACTTTCTGTTTGTTGTAACTTTCTGACCCCGTGCCCCTACTGGGCATCTGTGAATAAAGAGCTCTGTAGCTCATCGGATTTATTCAGGCTGAGTAAAGATCCCGATTCTTCTGATTTACTGGGTGAGGCCAATGTGGATCCCGTCGGGCCTCACAAGCTAAGCAGGGTTGGTGCCTGGACAGCACTTGTGTAACAAGACGTTAAAGACGGTCCGTTATCAATTACTGAGTGTTTTTGTCGGGCAGATCCTGACTGGTCAGGGCGGAACAGCGACTGATGATCGATGGGCCTGTTGGTATAGTGAACGAGCGTTTGATGGGCTGGGAGATGAGGCGGGAGTTTGATTTAAGTTGTTTATTGCTGAGAAAAGCTGCTAGGAGGGGTCGTGAAAGAGGATATAAGGCATGGGAGAGGAGAGAGCTCACGGTGGTGAGAACTTAACTCATTTAACTGGCATGCAGGAAGACATGGGTTCGATCCCGACCCCTGACGCCTATATATTGGAGTTTGCATGTCTCTCTCCCCGTGCTCGCGTGGATTTTTCTCCAGAGCATCTGGTTTTCTCCCTACACATTTATAATCAACATCATGCGTTTAAATTATTTGATTGATATACATTTCCACGTGATGATGAGCCACTTTGTTGAGCTATCATTTATGATAGCCTGGCCACTTCTGAAAACTAGCTACTCAGTGGGCCTCACCTGGTAAAATAAAAATTGTTTAGTTATTTTAGTTTTATAGTTTAGTTTAACGGCCTACCCTTTGTTCAATTAACGTTACCAGTTTTCTTAATGTCCACCGCGTTAACATAGAGTACCTGCAGTATTAACCAGGGCATCCGCTTGGCTCGCGACCACAATCCCCTGCAAAACGCACTGCCGCCCGGCAATGTCGCCAGCCCGCGCTGAGGCTAAACGAGTGGACGAATGCTTCTACGGTGTGTGGTGGGGCTCGCGTGACAGATAACGATTGGCGTTCACTCCGGCGAGGTGGTGGCCGGGGTGATCGGACAGAGGATGCCCCGGTACTGCCTCTTCGGCAACACGGTGAACCTGACGAGCAGGACCGAGACGACGGGACGGCCGGGGAAAATCAATGTGTCCGAGGACACTTATCGGTAGCGGGCTCACCACCACCACCACCAGCACCGCTCACCATCGCTCGTCGCCGACACCAGCACCAACACTTCCTCCTCCTCCTCGACCACAGCAGCAGCAAATACATCACCCTTGAGAAATCACCATCATCCCCTTCTGAACATCCTTCCATCATCAATCAGTCTTCAGTCTGTTGTCCTTCCCCCGCACCTCCGATGAGCATGGTTGGCTCCGTACAGTGCGCGAGAAGTTCAACGTACGTTCTGAACGCTCGGCACCACGCCATTTGGACTTGGCTGCGCTGTCGCCATTGTCGCTGCTCGCGTCGCGCCCGTGACGCGCACGAGACGGTCGCCGCTTTTGCGACCCTCGCCACCGAAAACCTAACTCACGGTCGGCATCTGCCGTCACGGCCGACGTCGTGTCCACGAGCAGCGTCGCTTTTGCCATTGACTCGGCGGTCATAGCTGCTGCCACGATGACGCGTGCATGTAAACATTCTCAACCCCACGTCGCACGCGTCACCTCCACGATGGCGCTCATCACCGACGTCACACTCGCCACCACATCGTCATCACTCTCAACTACACCATCATGCTCACCCACCGACTTCGGCATCGCATGCACATCACACCACAGACAGCACACTCACCACTGCTATCACACTCACCTACTGGCATCATACACATATGTATGTTGAACTTCTTTCGCACTGTATGTAACCAACCATGGCTATCGGTGGGCCGGGGAAGGACGACAAACTAAACACACAAAAAGCAGTTTCAAATACTCACCCACTGACATTAGAATTACAGACATCGTGATCGCGCACTCACTGCTGCAATCATCACAATGGCACTCACATCAAGCTCACATTCGCTTCCGCCGCTCATCGCTGCCGCTGCTGTTGCCTTCCACAGCTGCCTCATGACCCCAGAAAACAGCGACCCCGACTTCCTGCTCCAGTACCGGGGCCCCGTGCCCATGAAGGGGCGCAAGGAACCCATGGGCGTCTGGTTTTTGTCCCGGGTACCCCCCAGCGAAACCTAGATGCGTTCACCCCTGCACAGAGAATCCATCGAGCAAGTCCACTCGGCACCCTCACCCATCGTCTTTGCAGTATTTCTATCTCTTTTTCCACTTGTGTATCCGAGTCGTGCTGGCACCGGGTCAGGGAGCGTGGGCTGCTCTTCCACCGCACAAGCCGTGCCGCTTACGTCACCCTCAATTCGCGACGTCAAGACGCATTTAGCCAACACAGAGTTGTCCACTGACCGGCATCGTGCCTGCACATGTCACTAGCCCCACCCCTAGCGCGGCTTGGGCCTGAGTCAGATTCACACGTGGTCCTGTGAGGCCGGTGCAGCGTGTGTCGGTAATGCGCCAGTGGAAAACCACCCATACCGTGCTGACCCCGTGCTGGCACGGCTCACACGTGCAAGTGGAAAAAGGCTGTTAGTGTCCCCTTTGCTATCCTAGTGCGTTTTGTATAGCCCAATGACTGAGGGTAGGTTGGTGGATCGCGTCAAGACGAGAGTTGTGAGTGTTTTGTTTCGAGAGTTGTGATGGTGATGATGACGATGGTCTGTGTGAGATTCTCCCCTCTTCTAGTTCATGGGGATTTGTTGGACGATGCTTCACGATGCAGGTCAGCGCAGGTTGGTGAAGTGGTGGCGGGGTGAGTGGGTGGGCCCATAACTGGTTCAGATTCCACTCATCTCTAATGGGAGACACGGCCTGGAATCAAACAGTTCACTGGGTTCATAGAACACTGCACCACTGCTCCTCCACATCTATTCTATATTCTTAAAAACTGTCTATTTGGCCAGTATTGTAATCGCATACGATATTTGTGCTCAACTCAGTGCTGTAATGTATTATATAAGTGTTATTTTTTGTCAATGGAGATTAATATAATTATTGTTTTTAATATGAAAAAATATTTTTGCCCAGGGGACGCTGCCACAGTGGCGTAATGGTGAGCATCAACAGACTTGCAACGGAGAGGGCGCCGGTTCGATTATATCTCCTGGCGTGGCAGTTTGAAACGATGCCACGCGATGTTTCATTTTCCGTCCCTCTCCCATCACCTCCATCCTCCCCGGAAAGCCGACTCGACTAAGCGCGTCGTCCACATTCAAGTTCAGCCGCCACCGTGCCCGCCACTCCAGCACGGTGTGTGTACGCACATTGAACTTTGAGATTCGACGCGACAATTCCAGAAGGAAAATTGGCGCCGGATTCCTTCTTTAAAATCTTTCAAGCATAAACGTATGTGGAACTTCTTTGGCATCGTACGTGGCCCAACCGTGCTTATCCGGAGGTTCCAACAGTGGAGGCGAGGATTGGTCGATCGCACAACCGTTGTGAAACTCCTTTCCCGAGGTATCATACCCGTGGCTCGCCAGCAGAAGGCAGTGCAGCAAGTTGTCCATAATATAACTTTTTTTTTAGATTGGATCGCGTAAATATCAGTGTCGTTAAACCCGCCACCACCCGAGACAGCCAATTAGGAAGGTTTGTCACGTAAACAAAACGTGCAAATTCGTTACTAGTTCACCACACACCGATTGTGTGTTGGAGAGTAAACCCACAACTAGTAACTCATTGGCATCTTTGTTCACGTGACAAACATTACTAATTGGCTGTGTCGTGTGGTGGCGGGTTTAAGGAAAACATTTATTTTTACACGATCTTACCCCAAAAAAATCCTCTATTATGGATAATATTGGTCACAAAATCCTACGTGTTAAACTGACAGCAAGTTGACCTATCAGCATCTGTTCCCATCTTTACGGGGGGATAGAGTGTTGCCTCCTCGCGTGCGTGGGTTTTCTCCGGGCACTCCGGTTTCTTCTCCCACACATATAATAAACATGACTCATCATTCATTGACTGAAAATGTAAAAAAATAAAAACCAATGTAGGACCCTCCTGAAAATAAGTACAATGAGTCAGTGTGGCTCTCCCGGATAGATAGATGAATAAAAAATTACAGGGACTCCTCTACTTACGAACACTCGACTTAAGTACTCTCAGAGATACGAACAAACCTGTCCGTATGTCCAATTGCCTGTTCGGACCGAGAGTCGTAGATGGCGGCGGTGGCATCTACAGCTACAGAACGTGAAGAACCAGTGGCATCTACATTTGCAGAACGTGAAGAACCAGTGACATCTACATCTGCAGAACATCAAGAACCAGTGGCATCTACATCTGCAGAACGTGAAGAACCAGTGGCATCTACATCTGCAGAACATCAAGAACCAGTGGCATCTACATCTGCATAACGTGAAGAACCAGTGGCATCTACATCTGCAGCACGTGAAGTGAAGAACCAGTGGCATCTACATCTGCAGGAGATTATACAACTTTTATAGTCATTCCCCGTGTTTAGTGTACGTGGCCGTAACAACTTGTTTGAAATCGACAGGAGTAAAGTTGGGCTTACGAACAAATCGACTTACGAACAGACCTCTGGAACCTAACTCGTTCGTAAGTAGAGGAGTCCCTGTACTTGACTTATTCATCGCATTGATTTCCCTCCTCCGTTATTTGTACAATGCCCGCGCAGGTCATGCAGTAGCCATGTTTTTATATTAATGCTTTGTACGATTTACTTATGGGGTGTCTTATTTCAAGTTGAACCACGAAGTGATGTTCGTAACGATTGTCCAGTTTGTTTCATTTCTTCACCGCACGTGCGATGATTCACGGATTGAAATAGATTTATGACACGATTCGAATCGTGCATTTAATTATCAATGAATTATTCTTGTTTAAATATATTTTATGCGAACACAGTACGGTATATGTTTAGGCTAAAGCAGGGATCGGGAATTTATTTGTTACCTTATTGGGGTGTAAAAAGGACTTTAAAAAACCTTTGCCAAGGCCGCACAAGAACCACACACACCTTTGGCCCTGGAAGTAACCCTTGTTTCAAGTGCATTGTTTGACCAGGTGAGAACCCAAGAGATCAGGATGAGTCTCGTTTGCAAGAGTCACCTCGTGTGCATTCGTCTGCTGCCAGTAGGGGGGAGATTATTGCTGCTGCTGTGTGTGACTGTGTGTGTGTGACACTGTGTGTGTGTGACTGTGTGTGTGTGTGTAATCGCAATTGGGCAGCCGTAGTGTAGCAGTTAGCACGCTGCGCTACGATCCCGGCGACCCGAGTTCGATTCCCGTTCACGGCCAACACGAGTGACGATCATCTGAACCGGTCCTGGGCCTCCCGGTGTGTAAAATCATCGCCACTGGGGAGACAAAGGCGGTCTGGCGTGGTTCTGGAAACCCACCCCCTCGTGTGCCACAGTGCCGGCCTTCAAAGATGCTACTCGCGAACAGCAATTACCCCCCAACAGCCCGTTTACAGGCTCCACGGGGGATCTTTGTCTTTGTTTGTAGTCGCAAATTAGTCAACGCGGAGTCAATTTCGAATCTGGCAGAGTTGGACCGTGACGGAGGCGACCGAGCATGCCAAATCGGAGACGAAATTTTCACCTCGAAAACGTTCCCTCCCGGTGCCGGATTAAGCCAGTGCGGGACCTCTTGCATTTGTTTTAAGGGGGCCCTAAATAATATGTAAAACATAATTATTAAAACACTAATTTTTAACTTGCATAGTAAAGTAATTGTATTTTTTCCTTTCTTGTACAGCCAGATAATACGACAAATCGCGAAACTTAAACACCTAGTCGTTCATAACAGTTGAAGGCGGTAGATTACTATAGTAATAGAGCAAGTGCAGAATCACTGAACCGGAATTGATAGCTTGAAGGCATTTAGCGCGGGGCCCTTGAAAGTGCGTGGTCCGTAGCTACTCCATATGTAGCTATTTTTGGTCCTCGGATAATCCGGCACCGTTCCCTCCCCTCGTGCCCGATTAGTGCGGGGCTAAATATACTTTGCCCAGGGAGACTGTCCCCGTCTCTTTTCGTCCTCGCCTGGGTTAAACGAAATTAAACTTGGGATTAATATTGTCCGCACGAAAAATGTTGGGACGTGTTATGAAGTGAAGTCGCAAGCCCATAGGTTCATCACACCTAGGCTAAAGAAAGAGATGTACGTGTGTACATTGAACTTATTTCGCACCGTACGTAGCCAACCGTCCTCATCGGAGGTGCAGTGTTTAGTCTATGGGTAGTGTTAGTCTATGGGTAGTGATAATCGATGGGCAGTGTTGAGTCTATGGGTAGTGATAGTCTATGGGCAGTGTTGAGTCTCTGGGCAACCGTGCTAATCGGAGGTGCGCCGTAGAGGAATCCAATTATACAAATGAGATTAATACAAATGAGATTAACACAGAATCGATTAATTGGAATGTGACTCTACGGATCGTGACAAATCAAATTACTGGGCAGGACGGGGGGGGGGATGAATTGTCAGATGATGTAGCAGCACCCAATTATTTTCCAAGGCCTTATTCCCCCACGATGACAGCACAACCGTGATTTATTTAGCCGGACCAAATTAACTCTATATTGTACATGAAGCTTCATTGCGTATAAGATTATATATATGTATGGAAATAAACACGTGCTTGTTACATTTCGATTTATTTTGTCATTTGTACAAAGTGTGCCTCGCAAAATGTTTTGTCAAATAACAGAAGCCAAATTGGAAATACATTACTCGGGTGGTTACAGTGCAGCAGTGGTTGGTCAGAGCCGAGCGTAGGTGGTGCTTGGATGGGTAGCGACCACCATGCATAACAGGTGCCATAGGCTGCTGCTGTGCTACGCAGCGGACAGCAGACAGCAGTGCTGCGAAGTCCATTATTTTACTCTACTGTGCTCCCACGTATCTGCTTCCCCACCTTCAAACCCGGACTGATCAGCATAGCGAAGTACGGTCACAAAACCCGAACGATCCACACGTGGCACGGGGGGGAGGGCCCTCGTCGAGCGGTGGAGTGAGAATTCGGCTGTACGCGCGCGCGCTTGAAGTGAACACGTGAGCCATTGCAAGTGTGTCCGAAGATACCGGGCACGTGCACGTGGTGTTTCGTTTCCATGGCAAAAACGAAATTCCTTATAGCTTTTACTATTCAAGTCCCGGTTTCGACACACTTCATCTCATCGACAGTCAGCCTTGCTTGAATCAATGCTTGGTGAACTTGCCGATCTTAGGCAAGGGCCCTCCTCTCTTTACGGTTGGCCGCTGTGGACCGGGATTCTGGCTAAATCGCCTGATGGAGCTGGTTGTAATTACCAGCGAAAAGTCGTACTCAAATTGTAAATGTTGTAGGTTTACTCTCCAACACACCGGTGTACTGAAGTCGTAACTAATTGCCACGTTTTGTTTACGTGACAAACCTTACTAATTGCCTGTGTCGGGTGGTGGTGGGTTTAACGACACATTTATATTCACACGATCTAACCCAAAACAAACCTTAACTATTAATCTTTACCCTTGTTTATCATTTTCATCACACGTGTGTCCTGCTTACAGCCCTCATCTCGATCTCGCTTATCTCTCTTTCATCTCACTGATCGCCATCTCTCGTCTCGGACTGCCGTATCCTATCACCGGACCATCGTGTCGTGGAGCCACTCCCAGGAGTCTTTAGGGGTCGTCCATAAATGACGTCACGCGATTTTGGACGATTTTTGACCCCCCGCACCTTCGTCGCACGACGTCACAAAAAGTCAGACCCCCCCTCAAATATGACGTCACAAAGCAATGCCCCCCCCCCCAATTTTTTTTAAACATGCTTCAAATCGCTTTAAACTATTGTCATTGTAGTGCGTATTTAATGTGGCGCTGTACTCTGATGTTGTAGGAGAAAACATTTATTAAAAAGCATATTTAATTAAGTAGAACGTGTTGTCTATATTTATTTAAAGTTGCGCATTTTGATGTGACGTCACATTTCTCAAACCCCCCCCCCCCCTCGTCACAAATGTCTGACCTCCCCCCCACCCCAGGTACGTGACGTCATTTATGGACGGCCCCTTACCGGCCACATGCGGCCTGCTATGCTCGCAGTCAAACGCGCGTAAATACATACTACACAGGCACGCATGACTTGCATGCAGCAGAGTAACTTGTATTGTAAACATTGCGTTTCACAGTTGTTGCAGGGACAGCAATAGAGTAAAACCTTGGATTGCGAGCATAATTCGTTCCGGAAACGTGTTTGTAATCCAAAGCACTCGTATATCAGTTGTGATCACGTGACGCTCGGCAGACAAAGCGTCTACACGTACACTACTCGTATTGCAAGACCTCGCTCGTTTATAAAATTGATATTTATTTAAAAAAATTTGCTCGTCTTGCAAAAAACTCGCAGACCTTACTCGCAATCCAAGGTTTTACTGTACTTGTAAACACTGTACATTAAAACGTAATTTTAAACGATTATGAAACAGCGGCTCAAGAGGCCAATGGAAGTCAATCCCGTGCTCGGCTCACTTGATTTGTGGCGTGGGCATTGATGCAGTGGTTGCTAGCGCACTGCACTACGAACCTGGCAACCTGAGTTTAATTCCCAGCCTCGGCTAGCATCAGTAGCGTGTGATACAAGAGGACGTGGGTCCAATCCCAACCCTGATGTCTGTTGTATATTTGAAGTGTGTAGATTTTTCTCTGGGTCCTCTGGTTTTTCCCTCCATATTTAGAATCAACATCATGCATTTAGAGTATTTGGCTGCTATACATTTCCACGTGATAACAAGCCACTTCTTTGAGCTATCACTTGTGGTCCAGGTCTTTGATGCCCCCCTACTCCCCTTCACCAACACGCACAGACGGTCAAGTAACCAATGCAACTAAGTTGCTAGACAATTTCTTTTCGACAAAACTTTTTAACGAACAAAGAATAAAAGCTTCAGAGTCCAACAAACGTGATTCATCCTTTGCAGGAAGGTACCTGTGATCCCATGTTATCAGAGGTAGGCAAACACCCATAACGTCATCTTCTCGATGAATACAACATTTTACATTTTTTAGCTGCTGGTTATTAAAAAAAATTGCGGTGGGTTTACAGAAGATGTGCGATTCAAAAATGACAGCATTCAGGCCGGAAATTTTTTCCAGTTTTTTTTTTCCCACAGAAGCATTCGACTACTAAACAAAGCACACAAGGCCTTGCTCCTAAATTTAAGGATGTCAGGATATCGTAAATAAATATATCGTCATATTCAAGTTCATCAATAGAGCCGTAGCCCATGACTTTATAGCACCCAGGGCAAAGTGTCATCCTCTCACCCGGCCCCGGCAGCAAAAAATCGTTGAACGACTGGCCGCCACCGCTTGTTCCATTTCCAATTACTCGGCGACATGTTCGCAAGATGGTCAGGGCGCCCAGGGGGGGGCCCCTCAGGATCACGTCCCGGAACTTCGGCGCCGTCCATCCATAGATCGACGCGCCTAGCCGAGCTCAACTTTCGCTCGGGCGGTGCCTGAACTCGAACTCCATCTCGGATCCGGTGAAGGATCCATCGGGGGACGGGCTGTCGGTGCGCGCCTCCGAGCCCGACTCCTCCGCCTCCACGCGCCGCCGCTCCCCTGCACAGACGGGGCTCTCGCCGCCCTCGCCGTCTCCCCCCTCTCCAGGCGGGCTCGGCGGCGGTGGGGGCCGCACGCCGAGCCGCGCCACCTCCTCGCGGGAAAGTCGCGATGGCGGCGCGAACGAGGCCACGGTGTCCGGGGAGGGGCGCCGCAGGCCGAATGTCGTCGTCGCCGTGGCCCGCAAGGGAAACTCCTCCGAGCGTCTCGCGCCGGCGACCCCGCCGCAGGGTGTCGCCAGCTGGCGGCCGGCCGCCCTGTGTCGCGAGAGATCCCCCGCGCTGGCCAAACTGGCGAGCACGTCCAAGCGGTCCGAAAGGAGTGACGTGCGGTTTACGGGCGACCGTGGCCACGAGCCACGGTTGCAGCGGCAGAGAGAGGAGGAGGAAGAGGTGTCACCAGCGTGGCTCTGGGACGAAGTGGCGCCCGGTCGCTTGGCAAGGGATGGTTCCTGGCCGACGAGGTTGTGGTTCGTCCGTCGACGATGCAGACTGTCATCAGTGCACTGCTTCTCGAGATGAGGATGAAGAGGGTGATGGTGACACTGACAGATAGAGTGACAGGTGTCGGGTTTCTGACTGAGGCAATCCTGAGAGCAATAAAGACACTGGTGGTGCTTGTGATGAAGCTCCTCTTTATCCAGCTGCTGCTGCTGATGATGATGATGCAGAGGTGGATGACGATGTTGTGGACGATGGCCCATCGTGGTGTCTGCCCCACGCGCACGCAGCGTCCGGTAGTGCATCTCCACGTCCGCGTCGGACGCGGCGATGCTGCTCGCGTTCTCCAGGTCGTAGTGCTCGGGCCGGCCGTGGTGGCTGCCCCTTCTCATCGTCCCATCCTCCTCCTCCTCCTCATCACCCTCATCCAGCTGCCGCCCCATGGCGAACATTCTCCCGTGCTGACGCTGCCGGGGAGCGGCGGGGCGCAGGGCCCGCTCGTCAACGATGGCGTAGGGCCGGCTCTCGGTCTGCTCCACGATGATGTCGGGCCGGCTTAGGCACACCGTCCCGCCGTCATGCACGAACGCCTCGTTCACGCTGCCGCCCTTCGGCGCCGGCTTTTCGCACGCCAGGCGTTCTGCCGCCAACCCCACCGGGCCGGCCGCCGATGCCACCGCTGCGGAGCCCCGAGCCTTGGAACGGCGGCGGCGGCGGCGCCGGGCAAGCAGCGCTAGCGCCGCACCCACCGCCGCGGCCGCCAGGAGTGCAGAGAGCAGCGGCACGGCGGTGATGGTCGCCAGAAGCCACGGCGCCGGACCGCCGTCTCCGGGACCGCCCTCCGCAGGGAGGAGCTCGCGGCCCGCAAGCGGACACCTGGCGTGCGGGGAACAAGTCGTTGTTATTTTGTGATTAAGATTATCAACCAATAAGCACGAAGCTCAGAGAGCTGAATTGAGTTCAAGAGAACTCGCAGACAAACACTACGTTGTTATGAAGGACCTAACGCAGAAGATACCTGGGGATTTGATATTCCACGAAGCTGCTCGTGGTCCCCACCCCTAAACCGCATCCACTCGCACAGACAATGGCAGTAGATGTAGATACCGGATGATGCATGGATGGAAAATGTTGAATTCTCCAGTAGTGTGACTTTTACCTAGCCGCACCCACGCAGTCACTAGCCTGGCCCACACAGTCAGAGGGCTGCTTCCTCGATCTTCCTGACGTTTGTTCCCGCCCACTACTCAGGTAGTGCCACCCTTCTAAAGTGAAACAAAATCCCGATTTTTACCAATTTCTACGGAACACCGGGACAGCCTCCCTGAAACCACCCCACGGCTGTTCCGGCCAAATCAGGACGCACCTCCAATTGGCAGCACAATTGTCTACGTAGGGCGCGCGTAAGAAGTTCACCATACATACATACATTTACAAATCTGTGAAATCTCACAGGCCAATGCATGGTTACTATCGCGGTGGGCGGTCGTGCCATTTGGACGCACGTGTCAGCGACGGCCATGGTTCTGCGAGCCCCCCACGGTGCGAGAGGCAGCGCGTCCACGCTGACTCCGCGCAGGCACCCGTCCAGGCCCCGCGGACGCCCCTCGCGCTTGCCGAGGACCCCGGGCAGCGTCGCCGTGGAGTCCGCACCCCCAACGCTCACTGAGCCGTTGCTAAGTGGCCAGATGATGCTGGGAACAAAACCAAAAACATTATTTGAATAAACAATTTTTGCTTGCATACCCTGTGCTTAATTTCAGCCAGAACGGTCCACAACACTTTTCCGAGAGTTATTTTGGCATACCACATTCACCTCACTGTACCCTACTGTATATACCACACCTCCGATTAGCACGTTTAGTTATGTACGGTGCGAAAGAAGTTCAACGTACATACATACTGCCCATAGACTAACACTGCACCTCCGATTAGCACGGTTGGCTACGAACAGTGCGAAAGAAGTTCAACATATATGCATACATGTTCGTATAAACCTGTTCAAGGGATTACAAGAATATAAGGTACAATAATATAGGATTATTATGGAAAGACAATAACTTTTCCTCTAGTGGTAGTGCCTTATGCTGATAATCCCTGCTCCAAGCCAGTCTAGCAGCTTTCCGTAACATATCTGAGTGAGAAATAAATGGCTGCATATGTCAGTAAGTGACGTCTGTACGTGCTGTTAATTTGTCTTGCCTGGAGTTGCCCGCGATGGTCCCTGTGGCCTGGCAGTGGTCCAGATTCTGCACCTCGCCTGAATGTTCACAGTCATCTACATGCACACTCAGGGTCTGTGAGCGGGGAACACGAGACCAGGCATTGGAACGAGACTCAAGAATAAATATCCACAGCGGCTTTAGTTTGCCCAGGACAGCCTTAAAGAATGTCTTTTGGGATGTTTTCCCAAATGCACATTAACCTTTTTCCCATTCCGAGATGCAGTGCAAGTTTCAGGGTGGGTGTCCCGGTTCACCGCTGATTCTCGGAACGTGCAAGCGGCTCAGCTTTAATTTAATTTAGAGAGGCGTCATAACGCCGCTGTTTTTAAAGACATTGTGCTCACCGCAGAGAACCGTAATCGACACGATCGCACTCCACAATAGCTGGCGCCCAACTGTGTCACACGCCCTCCCGTGCAGTGGAAGCCTCGGTACCAATAAAGTTATTTTAAAGAAGTTTTTCTTCCGGGTTCCGTTCCAATGACGCGCACGGAATCGGAAGAAAAACCGATAACGTGTACACGTACGTCATGTATAAGTCATCGGAATGGGAAAGGGTTCACGAGTGTTTGACTTCATGCAGGAGGAAAATGGAGCATGCAGAGAAAAGCCATGCACACAAGAGGATAACGGTCAAAAGAGAAGCACAGATGGATTCAACAAGCCAATGCCACGCCACCTTCTAGAAACATCGCAGTACATGCATAACACTCCTGGCAAACCCAGGCAGTCTCCCATCTAAGTATGAACCGGGTTCAAAGCCAGCTTAGCTGGAGGGCAGCCTCATGTAGTGCAGGTCATGGAGGTGCCGGTAATTGATGGTTGGTTGAAAGTTAGGAGAATAGACGTGTGAGCATGAAATTCGGACCGTTGCCGCCAGAACATGAATCCAACTTTTTATCAAATAACCTCATGCGATCTTCAACATCCAATGTGTAATTTATGGTTAACACAACCAGTACTAACCCTTTCCCGTTCCGATGACGTACGTGCATATGTCATAAGTTATTAATCCGATTCCAAATGGAATCGGTGGTAAAAGGCCACGCTGGAGGGCATGCAGCACAGTTTGGCGCCAGCCATCGTATGGTGTGGTCGTTTTGCTATGGTTCTCTGTGGTGATTAAAACAGCGTCGCTATGCCCTCTCTATAAACAAAATTAACGAGGAGCCCCTCGCGTTATGGCGAGATTCAGCGGGTGAACGGGACACACCCTCACACCGACACCCCGCAATGTGCATTACGTCTCGGAACGGGAAAGGGGTTAAATGACGGCGGCAGCCGGGGGGGGCCCCAATCACAAATCTCCGCTACGCAAGCGGTATAAAGTGCTCCTGCTCGCTTGCCCAGTCGCCGCCACAAGCGACCGCCAGTTCCGCCAACCAAACAAAACAATGGTGGCATAAGACCTTTCCACGGCGCAGGGCGGCGATGGTGTGGTAGTTGCCGTCGCTTAGGCCTTGCCCTGCCTCCACGGTGGTGACCTCTCCACCAAGGTCAAGCGAGACGGAAGCGCGACCTCCCATGAGCCACACGGACAGACACCAACGTCCTCCTGTCGACGCACACAAAGGGCCGTTAAACGAATCTATTTTTCACTTTACCAGGTGAGACCAACTGTGCTACGTAGCTATTTTTCAGAAGCGTCCTGGCCACAAATGATGGCTTATGAAAGCGGTTTATCATGCGAAAATTTATCGCAGCCAAATATTCTAAGCGCATGATGTTGATTCTAAATGTGGAGGGAAAAACCGGAGGACCCGGAGAAAATCCACACGACCACGGGGGAGAGAGACACTCAAACTCCACGCAAACAGCAGGCGTCATGGTTGGGATCGAACCCACGACCTCCTGTATACCAGGCCAGGTAGTTAACATCTCCCAGCTATCCTGGCGTCCTCACCAGATGCCTTGGAAGAGGTGGGAGAGTTACCCACACTTTACCCCACCACTCACAAACTGCCTGCAATTCGACTGGGGCTGCGACCGCTTACGCTGCTGAGTGGCCAGCGAAGGGGGAATTCAAATAACTTTCCCCGTTGCTTCAGCTGCCACATTGGAAGTCCCGTCTGACAACTATTACACTCGGCTTCGACGACGAAGGGGACGGTGATGATGTTTGTAGTGATGTGATAGCGATGGAATGAGGACGGTTGTGAAAATTACAGTGGTGACACAACGTTGTTGATGTTCGTGATGACGATGGCGACAACATCGATCTCGTGATGATGATGATGGCGACGACGTTGATGCTCGTGATGGTGATGATGGTAACGATGTTGATACTCGTGATGATGATGATGATGGCCACGATGTTGATGCTCGTGATGATGATGACGATGTTGATTCTCGTGATGATGATAATGATGATGATGGCGACGATGTTTATGCTCGTGATGATGATGATGGTGACGATATTGATGCTCGTGATGATGGTGATGACGTTGATGCTCGTGATGATGATGACGACGATGTTGATCCTCATGATGATGATGGCGACGACGTTGATGCTCGTGATGATGATGGCGACGACCCCCTCCATGGCGCACACCATCGTCGCGGGCGAGCAGGAGCAGCTGCGCACTTGTCCGCGTCGTTGCTACCTCCAGCCGAATCTCATTCCTCTCCAGGTCCAGAATCCGTGCCGGGAATTCCATGAAGGAGGAGCCCTGGAAGCCGAACCCCCGCTCCTCGCAGGGCGCTCCACTCCCCTCCTCCTCCACAGCCGCCTCCCCTATGGCTGCTCCGCCCGCGGCCGCCCCATTCTCCACCGGCACCCCCGTTGTTAATGCCGCGACGCCCGCGCCTGCCCCCCGCATCTCCCCATCGCACTCGGGTGCCGCGGCGGCCCCCGGCGGGCACTCGCATGTCCACAGAGGGCCAGCGGCGCCGTGCGACACCAGGACGAACGTCTCGCTCTCGGTGACGGCGAGGAGGCCGGGGCCCACGGCCGGACCCCGGCTCATGCAGCGCGCCGGCGCCACGCAGTCCGACAGGCGGCATGTGTCGGCCACAACCTCGAACAGGCCCCCGAGCCTGGCGTTCGGGTCCGGGTTTGGGTCCCGGGCCGACAAGGCCCGCAGGAACCTCCGAGCGTCCCGGGCGCAGAAGCCGCGTCCGTCGCCGCCGCTGTCGGTTCTGGCGAGCGCCGCCCAGGCGTAGGAGGCGTTCCCGTGGCGAAACGCGTGGAGCACGCGCAGGTCCGCTCCAACGGAACTCAGCAAAGCAGAGGCGGAGGCGAGGAGCGGCGCGAGGCCGGCATCGAGGAAGCGGCCGAGCTCTGTGCAGCCGAGCGAGAGGAGCGCGGCACCGGCGAGGGAGGCGCCGTCGTAGGGAATGAAGCGCAGGCGCGCGGCGCTCAGCACGGGTGTGTGGAGGCCGTCGCTCGCCTCCACCCACAGCACGACCGTCGCCGGTGTGCCGTGGCAGTCGCGCGGCTCAGACAGCAGGTTGCACGTACCTGGCGTGATGCTGAAAGCCCCAGATGACGACGGTGACAAATGAGATGGTGACTGCGATTGCGGCGGCGCTGATGACGGATCGGCGCCCTCCGCGTTCCCCACGATCCGGCACGTGAATTCGTCATCCGAGTCAAGGTCCAGCGGCCGCACGTCGCCGAGGAAACCGCCGGGGAAGGTCGTACCAAAGAAGCTGACGAGGATGTCGAGGGGGCGCGGTGAGGGCGCGTTGTCGTTCACGTCGCCCACCTCCACCGTGACCTCCACCACCGACGTGAGCTGGGGTGTCCCCGAGTCGGACACCACCACCGCGAGCGCCACCTCCCCCGTCTCCTCGCGGTCCAGCTCGGCGGTCGTGCGCAGCACCCCGTCGTCGCTCAGGGCGAAGAACCGCGACGGCTGCGCCAGGCGGTAGGAAAAAGGCGGCCCGTTCTCCTCGGCGTCGGCGTCGCGGCTGCTCAGCCGGGCCACGGGTGTGCCGGGCGGGAGGCCCTCGTCGACGCGCCACCGGACGGACGTCAGCACCGGCGCGTTGTCGTTGGCGTCGTCGACGTCGACCCGCAGGATCGCCGTGCCCGTGGCCGCCGGGCTCCCCTCGTCCACGGCGAGGACGAGCAGCGCGTAAGCGTCGCACGTCTCCCGGTCGAGCGGCGATGCCGACGTCACGAGGCCCGAGGCCGCGTCGATGGCGAACGCCGGGCGCGACGCCGGCGCCGCCGCCGCCGCCGCTGGATCGTCGCCGAGCCGGAAGGAGAAGCGAGCGAATTGCGGGATGCGGTCGGGATCGTGAGCCATCACGGAGATCACGGGCGTCCCCGAGGGGGCGTCCTCGCGCACTCGCGCCCGGTAGACATCGCGCAAGAAGCGGGGCGCCTCGTTGGCATCCGTCACGATCACCGTCACCGCCGCCTCGTCCAGCCGCTCGGCGCTCGTCACGGCGCCGGGGTTTTTGGCCACGACGGTCAGAGTCACGCGAGCCACGGCGTCCGGCGGGGAGTCTGGGACGGCGGGAGAGGATGACGAGCTGGACGCCAGCTTCCCCACCACGACCACCTCGCCCGAAAGCAAGTCCAACCTCAGGCCGTGCCTCCGCGCCGCCGACTCGGCGCCCACGAGGTGGAACTCCACCCGCCCGGCTCGCCCGGCGTCCTGGTCGGTGGCCGATATGGTGCCGACGTGAGTGCCCGGTGCGGCCGACTCGGAGATGCGGTGCACAAAGCCGGCAGCGGAAAACCTCGGCGGGAACTCGTTCTCGTCGAGCAACTCGACACGCACCAGCGCCGTGCCGCTCAGCCGTGCCGCCGCGCCAGGCGGCCCATCCATGGCGATCACCACGAAGCGGTAGCGCGGCCGCGCCTCGTAGTCCAGCCGCCCCGCCGTGACGACGACGCCGGTGTCCGTGTCGATGGCGAACGGCAGCGCGGGGTCGGCGAGCAAGTAGCGCGGGGCGCCGTCGCCATCACCATCGGCGTCGCGGGCGCGCACCACAACCACGAACGTCCCCAACGGTGCGGCCTCACTCAGCTCGGTGCGGTACTCGGCACGTTCGAATGCCGGCGCGTTGTCATTGCAGTCGGCGACGGTCACGGTCACCACGGCCGTGGCGGCGGCGCCCCCCCAGCCGTCGCGCGCCGACACAATGTATCGGTAGGAGCGAGTCGTCTCGAAGTCGAGCGGCGTGGCCAGGTGCACGACGCCGGCATCCACTGAGAAGGGCGCCGCGCCAGCGCCCGACAGCGAGTAGACCAGTGGCGGCCCGGCCGCGTCCTCTGCCGCCTCCGCCACCGCGAGCAGCACTGTGGAGCCGAGCGGTGCGCACTCGGGCACGGTGGCGACGAACTCGGCTCTCGAGAACGCCGGCACCCGGGCGGCCCAGCCGTCCTCGATGACCCTCACGAGCACCGCCGCCTCGGCGGAGAGCGGCCGCGGCAGGCCGCGGTCCTGCGCCCGCACGGCGAGCGAGAGGGTGGTGCCGGCGCGACCGCGCAGCGCCGAGCGGAGCGTCAGCCACCCGCTGGCGGGGTCCACTGTGAACAGCCCCGGCCCGGCGCTGCCGTTTCCGTTGCCGTCGACGACGGAGAAGACCACTTCGGCGGCGGGGCCAAGGTCGCGGTCATCGGAAGCCGAGACGCGGAGCACGCGGGAGCCAACGGGTGCCGAGGTCACCACGGTGGTGACGTAGAGCGGTGCGGAGAAGACGGGCGGGTGCTCGTTGGCGTAGACGAGGTCCACGGCGAGCATCGTCTCAGAGGTGAGCGGCTCGGGGCGGCCGCAGTCCGAGGCCACGAGCGTCAGGAGGACACGGCGGCCGAGGAGGGCCGAGGACTGGGTCGGGGGTCGTGGCAGGAGGAAGCGGCCGCGCGTTGAGATCTCGCCCGTGGAGGCATGGACGCGGAATTCCTGAAAGGGACGGTCGGCGTATCCGGTCAGACGCAGGAAAATAATTCGCGAGCGACGGAGGACGCGTCAGCACTTTCTCATCACCACCTTCCCACCGTCTTTGCTGGACTACACGGCTCCAATGGACTCTCCCCGCTCGTCGACGCAGTGCCGATGTCCACTCACCTCCAGGATGTCGTCGTCGCCGCCGCCGAGCGAGTAAAACACCTCCCCATTCTCCCCGTCGTCAGGGTCCGCCGCGGCCATGCGCACCACCGGGCAGCCGCCCTCCAGCAGGCACTCGGGCACCACCAGCGGTGATGGCGGCGCCCCGATGAACGCCGGCGCGTTGTCGTTGACGTCCGTCACGACCACTACGACGTCCGTGTTGACCGCGAACGCGGCGCCGCGCGCCAGCAGGCGCAGCGCATGCCGCCCGCCCCCCGCCGCCTCCCGGTCGAGCGGCGCGGCCACCCGCACCACGCCGGTCTCCGGCTCGACGGAGAACGGTGCCGGCATCGCCGTCGGCACCAAGGAGTAGGAGACAGCGGCGTTGTCGCCCTCGTCCTCGTCCTCGGCCCAAGCGCGCAGCACGGCCGTTCCCGGGGCAGCATCCTCCGGCACCGCGCCGGCGAAGATGCGCGGGAAGCGCGGGGGGTTGTCATCCACATCGAGCACCGTCACCGCGACGACGGCGGTGGCGGTCCTGCCGTCGCCGTCATCCGCCAACGCCAGCAGCTCATGCGTGGCGCCTGTCTCGCGGTCCAGCGGGCGCAGGGTGCCGAGCTGCCCGCTGGCGGGGTCGACGGCGAAGGCCGGGAGGCCGATCAGGGTCGGCGCGAGCGAGTAGCGCATGGCACCGCTGGGGCCGGCGTCAGCGTCGGACGCTCGGAGAACACAGCCCGGGATGGGGCCCGCTGGAGTGTTCTCCAGGACCTGGTCCACACGCGTGCAGAAATTCTCGTTTACACATTGCAATGTACGTCCGGTCTATGCCACCACCACCACCACACCAAGAGTTGATGATTGACGATGTTAAGTATCCTGACCTGAATGCATTAAAACCGGCTTCTTGAGTGCAGCGAGTTGATGGTCTCAGCCTGGGCGCAAATGACCGTGCGCACAAAAACACCGCATTAATTGCATTGTGCACTGAACGTGGACAAATTCCAGCTCTTAACATTAACAAATTTCCGTTTGACTTGTCATGTGCCTGACGACACCGTCAGTGGTGGAGTGGGTGTGAACGCACTGACTCATGTTGCGTGGACTTGAAGGGATCTCAAACAGACAAGTTCCGAACAGATTATTTGTCTCACGGCGTGACACCAACGGCGTGAAAAATGTAATTGTACATCTCATAAACGTGATTTCTCCTCCCTTGATTCTGGAGAATAAATCTAGCAGCTGGATGCAAGGGATGTCGATTAAATGACACCAATAACACGACGAAAATAACACTTTGGGGTCGAAAAGAAAAGGCGGTTAAAGAAAAACGAAACCACCGCTGCACCATTGTCTCCTAACATCAGCGGCGCGTCTCTCCGCTCGTCACCTGGCACACAACGGGGTCGCGCTCGAAGCGCGGCGCGTTGTCGTTGACGTCCGTGATGGCCACGTCCACCCTCACGTAGCTGGAGAACGGCGGGAAGCCCGCGTCGCGGCACTCCACGAATACGGCCACGCTCGCCCGCTCCTCGAAGTCCAGCGGCCTAGCCAGCGACACGGCCCCGCTCGCCCGCTCCACATCGAATGGGCCGTCCCCTCCGCCCGCCGCGTAGAACCACACGGGGGCTGCGCCGGGCCGGGATGTCTCGGCCTCCACCCTGGCCACGGTCGTCCCCGCCGGCGCGTCTTCCGGCAGCACGATGGGCGGCGGCGACCGAAGGTGCACGCGGGGACGCGGGAACGAGGCCGCGTTCCGGAAGCGAACCGTGACGGTGGTGGCGGCGCTGCGGTGCGGAGGGGCGAGCTCGGTGGCCGTGAGGTGCACGGTGAAGTCGGCGGGGCCGCGGAGCGGTGCGGCGGCGCTCAGCGAGCCCAGCGAGGGGTCGAGCGCCAGAAGGTGAGCATCGTCGCCCGACAGCGAGAAGCGCAGGGACGCGTTGGCGCCATAGTCGGCGTCGACGGCGGTGGGGACGAAGATGAGGGCGCCTGGAGAGGTAAGCGCATGCACGCACGCGATTACGGCACACTCGGTTAAACCATTTACTAGCAACTTTTTTTAACCAGGTAAGGCCCACTGAGCTACGTAGCTCTTTTTCTGATGCAATCTGGACAGCAAACGATAGTTCAACAATGTAGATTATAACGGGTAAATGTATAGCAGCAAAATAATCCAAGAACTCATGCTTGCGAACCCATTAGTTCTCAGAAGCTAAGCAGATTTGATTATGGATTGTGCTTGGATTGTACAAACAGGTTGCTGTAGGCCTGGACAGCAAGCGATAAGCCGACAAGGTGGCACTTCGTCATGTGGAAATGTATAGCTGCGATGGACCCAAATCAATATTGTCAATACTGATCACCTTGAAAATAGGTTTTCCCCTTTTTTTCTGGCAACAAAACAGGTGTTAAGATGAGAATTTTATTGTTATATATATTTGATTATTTTATTGTTTCCCTTCAACGTGACTTTACCGAAAGAACCAAGAATATAGGTGTTAAGATGTTAAAACACCAAACTGAAACCTTTTACAAGGAATCATGTCTGCATTAACCACAATACTTGTGGTCAGAATGCAAACTAAAAACATACTCTGATAATATATGAGCATTGTCTTTGAAACTGATTGGTCCACACCAGAGACAGCTTTCTTTGGAGCCTCTTCTCAAAAGGTGTTAGACCAGAGGACGCCAAAAGGCGTACAGCAAAGACAATGCACGATCAGAGTAATGAGAGCTCGGGGTGAGCAGCTACATCATGGGACCTCCTTTGCCAGTACCAAAATATGGCAACGAAGCAGGTGACTGCAGGAACTCATATTCTTGGTTCTTTCGGTAAAGTCACTTTACCAAAAGAACCAATAATAACAAAACAGGTGTTAAGATGTTAAAACACGAAACTGAAACCTTTTACAATGAATCATGTCTGCAAATATTATGATTAATGCAGACACAATTCCTTGTAAAAGGTTTCAGTTTGGTGTTTTAACATCTTAACACCTGTTTTGTTGCCAGAAAAAAAGGGAAAACCTATTCTCATATTTTGGTACTGGCAAAGGAGGTCCTATGACTGATCACCTTTTTTTTGCAAGTCTCAGAAGACTGAATAGACATTCTAAAATTGGTAACAGGGTCCATTAAAGACTGATAAACAGATTTGCTGATTCAAATGTAGACTTTACAGTGTAGATGGTTTCATGAGGACCGGTGTTTTATTCTGCACCGGTGTACTGCCAATACGTCCATTTAGTATTTTTTTTGTTTAGTAGGTGAGGTCCGTCTAAGGTATGTAGCTATTTTTTAGAAGCGATGTGGCTATCACAAATGATAGCTCAACGAAATTTACAAGCAGCCAAATACTCGAGAAGTGTGATGTTGATCTTAACGTGAAAGGAAAAAGTGGAGGGAAAAAGTGGAGGAACCGGAGAAAATTTTACGCGACCACAGGGAGAGAGACATGCACACTCCAAATATAGAGCAGGCGTGAGGGTCAGGATTGAACCCACGACCTTCTGTATACCAGGCGAGGTATATTCTTGGTTCTTTCGGTAAAGTCACGTAGAAGGGAAACAATAAAATAATAAAAATATGAAAAATAAAATTCTCACGACGTTTCGACTGCAACACAAGCAATCGTCATCACGTAGAAGGGATGATGATTGCTTGTGTTGCACGTAGAAGGGATGATGATTGCTTGTGTTGCAGTCGAAACGTCGTGAGAATTTTATTTTTTATATTTTTAAGAAAATGTTCTTGCTGTGGTTTTCACACCTGATGATGATTGCTTGTGTTGCAGTGGAAACGTCGTGAGAATTTTATTTTTATATTTTTATTATTTTATTGTTTCCCTTCTACGTGACTTAACCGAAAGAACCAAGAATATGAATCTCTGCAGTCACGAAAGCTTTAAATAAAAAAAATCCAAGCGAGGTAGTTAACATCTCCTAGCCACCGTGATGATGATGAAACAGAGAGAGACATGGAGACTCCAAACTCCAGGCATCAGGGTCAGGATCGTACCCACGACCTGACCCTGGTGCCCTGGTCAGGTCGTGGGTACGATGTTAGCTACCACGCCAGGCGAGGTAGCTAACATCTCGCTTCCGCGGTCGTAGTAACTGAATACGTTTGGTATCCGTGCTGTTCTCGTCGCACGGGGTGATCGTCACAAAGGTAAGACGCGATCTGCTGTGATTTTCCTCGTCAGGGGAGACGTTATTCCATGCAATTCAAATCGAGTAAGTTGCCGGTAACTTTTTTATTTATTTGGTCAAATGTGGACGGTGACGCCGGCACACGTTGTCCTGCTGGTTTTGTGAATGACGTCACCAGATGTCTCGCGTCTGCTGTGACGGTGCGTGGTATTTTAGGGTGAATGCACATGGACAAGAGACATGGGCACATGGCCACAGACTCGCACTTACACACACATGGACAGACATGCACACACATGTACAGACAAAGATCCACTGTATAGTCTGTAATAGTGTCGGGGCAAGTGCTGTGAGCGAGCAGCAGCACCTATGAAGGCCAGCAATGTGGCAAACGCGGGGGTGGGTGGCCAGCACCATGCCCGGCCGCCTTTGTCTCCCAAGGAGCGATGTTTACACACCGCACCAGGTACTCACCTGGGGCTGAGTCGACCTAGGGGAGGCCCAGGACCAGTTCAGATAATCGTCACTTATGTTGGCCGTGAGCGAGGAATCGAACAGCCGCACACAAAATAAGATCCCCCATATAGCCTTAACAAACTCTAGGGGCAAGTGCTATTTGCGAGCACCTATAAAAGCCGGCATGGCACATGATCGGGTGGGTGGCCAACACCACGCCCGGCCGCCTTTGTCTCCCAAGTGGCGATGTTTACACATCGCACCAGGTACTCATTTGAGGCTGAGTCGAGCTAGGGGAGGCCCAGGACCGCTTCAGGTAATCGTCACCGGTGTTTGCCATGAGCGGGAATCGAACCCGGGTCGCCAGGTTCGTAGTGCAGCGTAGCGCTAACAGCTACACTACCGCTCCCTACATACACAAAGACAAAGACCCCCAAATAGCCGTGATCAGGAATCAAACCCGGGTCGCCAGGTTCGTAGCGTAACGCGCTAACCGCTACTACACTACCGCTATGCACACACGCACGCACGCACTTACCCCCACCAGAGACCCAGTTTCACCGTTAAGGCCACGGATAGCGAGCGAGGGCAAGTACGTTTAATGAGCGACAACGAAAGGACCCGGCCCGGCACGCGGGGAGGTGGTGGTGCGGCAGCCACGCGTGCCTGGCCTCTTTGTCCGTTGACCCTGATCACAGGAGAAGAGTTCACGGCTGGCAGGCAGAGGTCACGCTGGAGAGGATGCATGGGCCCCGCATCACTCACCATCTTTTATTTTTTAAACAAGTTGTTTTTTTCCCCTCGTCTCACCGCAAGCAAGCCAGGGTTGGTTGGTGAGCCAGGTTAGGGCTGGGATGGGAGACCACCAGGGACCTGCCAGGTGTCATAGGCGGCGACGATTGTCACAACCTCACCCAATTGGCTCATCCACCACAACCAATGAAATCAACCGAAACCGCTGCCGCCTATTAATCATGCAGATTGCTCTTTGGGCACAACCAGGGCGCCTGGCAAATCGGGGCTTCCGCGGCTTCACGAAATAGAACCGCCGGGAATAAAAATCTCTACCGGACGCGCGACCATCACGCGGACTCCGATGGTCACCCTCGCAGTGGCGGCTTTTTGTCTCGGCCGTCGAGCAAAGACCAACGCCGCATAGTGTGACGCTTTCAGATGCGCTTCTGCGGACGTGTGGAATGGCGAAGCCACTGGAGCTGTGCGCTTTTAAATCACCTATATTGAAAACGACTCTCTTTAGAACTAATTTTTGTGTGTTAGTTTGTTGTCCTTCCCCCGCACCTCCGATTAGCACAGTTGGCTACGTACAGCGCGAAAGAAGTTCAACGTACATACACACACACATTCAACACACTCAATGGCATCGGTGCATCTCGCGAAAGATCCACCCACAGCGACCGTCACAATCAGAGCGTGAACGTGAGAACACTGACCACACAGCAGTGAACCATTATGCAAGTTTCTATACGAATCTACGGGTTTCTGTGCGAGTCTAGGGGTCTCTATACGAATCTACGGGTTTCTGTGCGAGTCCAAAGGTCTCTATGCGAGTCTACGGGTTTCTGTGCGAGCCTAGGGGTCTCTATGCGAGGCTATGGGTTTCTGTGCGATGTAAATCGATGAGACACGTCGTGTGTGACCACATGATTAGTGACCGCACTGTGAACTCGAAGCCCTCCAACCGAACTTCAACTGAAGCCATGTCCTGTCTAACAATTTACAGTGTATATGAATGCATTAACCCCCACCCCCTCTGGCCTTTGCACCTGATTGGCTCACAGATAGTGACATTTATCCCTCCATTTAAGACTGAAACAGGAGGATTTTTCCACAAAGCTGGCTGTCGCCTGACGATGCTGGTTGTAATTACTGGCGAAACGTCACAGTACTCGAATTGTAAATGTTGTGGATTTACTCCCAAACACACCACCGGTTTGCTGTACTGGTAACTAATCGGCACGTTTTTGTTCACGTGACAAACCTTACTGATTGGCTGGGTCGGATGGTGGCTGGTTTAATGACACATTTATATTTACGCAATCTAACCAGAACTACGTGTTAAACCAAATCTGGATATAGGCTTTCAGGTTTTATATGTAAACAGTAACACCCCGGTTTATGTCTCCCCTTTTTACGTCATTTCGCAAATACACTCGTCACGTTATTATCAACGCGGCTACCCCAATTAGCGTCGTCTCAACCGCACATGTGCACATCACTCACAGCATCGTCGTTGTCCGTCCTGTCTTGTTATCTGTCGACTCTTAGCCTTCGCCTCCTCCACCACCACCACCACTACCATCACCTACTACGATTACCGTATGAATCGCTTTGATTGACGTCGTTTTGATATTCGTCGTTGCACCCTTCGGGAACGCATCCTCGACGTAAAGCACTAGGTGTGTTGCTGCAAAAATACCTCTAATCTGGACACGGACTTAAGAGTTCACCATCCATCTAGCCGCACGCAAGGAGAGCGGCTGGCTGCAGCGGCAATACCCTTCTGAGCAGTGGCGTTCAGTTCGTACCACGGCACCGCGCCACCACTGCGATCTGTAACACCAGGGCTCGGAACCAGGCGCGGCAGCATTTATTCTCACGAGCAGCCGCCCGTCCACCCGTCCACCCGCCCGCTTACCGCTCGGCGTTGGCGTGGGGACACTCGCCACGTACGGCGCGTTGAGAAACGCCGGCCCATTGTCGTTGACGTCCGTGACGGTGACGAGCACAGAGACGGACGTAGAGAGGGCGCCGCCAGTGCGGGCACCCCCGTCCGTGGCCCACACGAGCAGCGGGTAGCCGTCGCGCAACTCGCGGTCGAGTGGCACGAGCGTCCGCAGCTCGCCCGTCGTGGCATCGATCTCGAGGGCCCCCTCACCCCCTTCCAGGCGGTACCTGCGACGACGCCGTCGATCGCGGGAGACACACGGACGTTGACTCGGAGACATGCGAAGGCTCGAACGGGCAAAGGAGAAGTAACACAAGGTGGGTTTGTACAATGCAGCTATCTCTGTAAGTGCCTCTCCATCCCTCTCCGTGTCCTTCTGTCCACCTTTCATTATCTCTGTGTCTCCCTGCCTCCCTGTTGTCGAAAACACAAACGTTGGGGAGCGGTAAGTGAGCGGGTGAGCGAGTGGGCAAACGGGCGAAACAGTGGGTGAGTGAGCGGGCGAGCGAGTGAGCGGGTGAGTGAGCGGGTGAGTGAGCTGGCGAGTGAGCGGGCAGGTGAGTGAGTGAGCGAGTGAGCAGGTGAGCGAGCGAGCAGCTGAGCGAGCGGGCGGGCGGGCGAGTGAGCGTACGTGACGGTGCCGTTAGGCCCCTCGTCCGGGTCCTCCGCTCGCGCCGTCCACAGCACGGTGCCAGCCGCGCCACCCTCCTCCACTTGCAGGCGCACGTCGCGGCCCGGGAAGCGCGGAGCATTGTCGTTGGCATCGCCCACGAGCACAGTGAGCGTGGCGGTGCCGGTGAGAGGCGGGGAGCCTGGGGTGCGGAGAGACGGCGCTGATGAAAATGAAACGCGAAGCGACTCGCTCAGCGCGCTGCCGCTCTCCTACTCAGTTCCCCCAAGCAGCCTACTGGGGTCTGCCGGGGGGGTGAGTGCCGCGAGTGAGCGGCGCCTACCAAGGCCGGCATGGCACACGTTAGGGGTGGCATGGCCAGTGCCGCGCCTGGTCACCTTTGTCTCGCCAGCCGATATTTACAAGCGGCACTGGGTGGCCCGTTTAGGCCGAGTCGACTTAGGGCAGGTGGCTCAGCTTAAATAGGGGACCACAAAAGTGAGATGTTAACTACCTCGCCTGATATGTAGGACGTGGTGTGTTCAATCCCAACCCTCACGCCTGCTGTATATTTGGAGTTTATGTGTCTCTCTCCTTGTGGTCGTGTGGATTTCTCCCCGGGTCCTTCGGGTTTTCCCCTCCACGTTTAGAATCAACGTCACACGTTTAGAGTATTCGGCTGCTATAAATGTCCACGTGATGATAAGCCACTTCGTTGAGCTCTCATTTGTGGTAGCCAGGTCGCTTCTGAAAAAGAGCTGTATGGTAGCTCAGTGGGCCTTTCACTGGTAAAATAAAAATCAATTTTTTTTTTAAACGAGTGGGCCACACGGCCTACTCGAAGTCGGCAAAGCCGACGATCGCCCGGCTCGTGAACCGAGGGATTCACTCCCATGTACCGGCGTCGGTGGCCGTGACGAGCAGCAGGTGGCGGGGCCGCGCCTCGCGATCGAGCGGGCGCAGCAGGTCGAGCCTCCCCGAGGCTGACAGTGAGAATGCGTCGCGCTCGTAGTCTCCCCCTACCACGGCGTACGACACCACGCCCGCCGGGCCCAGGTCGTCGTCGTGCGCCGACAGCTGCAGACGGGGGTGGTGGGGGGGGGGGCAGGATAACGCGGGTGGAGGGATTCAACATCAGCTGGTGTCGTCGCCGCTGCCCCGCGAGAGGTCGATCCCAACGGTCGGGGGGAAAGGGCTCTCACCTGGGCGATCTGAAGCGGCCGCCCGCCGGGCCCGCCGAGGCCCTCCGGGACCCCGGCCACGACGCCTCTGCCGCCGTCGCTCCCGAACGACGGGACGTGGTCGTTGACGTCAGTGACGGAGACCGCCACGGCAACGGCGGACGCGAGCGGCGCCGGCGAGCCCCCGTCGCGCGCCTCCACGAGGAGGCGGTACGCGTCCCTGCGCTCGCGGTCCAGGCCGCGAGCGACTCGCAGCTCTCCCGTCACCGGGTCGATGCGGAACGCGGTGTCGTCGTCGTCGTCGTCGTACCGCTCCTCCTCTTCGTCGGCGTTGTTCTCCTCCGTGTCCCCGCGGCGCGATCCCTCCACTCCGGTCCCGGCGCAGTCGTCCGTCGCACAGAGCTGCCGCCGGTGACATGGCCTCGAGCTGTCATCGGTTTTGTCGCCGCTTGCCAGCCGTACCGAACGCCAAACCCGGCACGAGGAGAGCGACACCGAACGGCGCGGCACGACCCACAAATCACGCGGCAGCGCGACCGCGAGGGCTTGCGGGGGTCGGTGATCTATTCGAGCACCTCTACGCAAGCTCATTTCATCGCTGGCGCATTGGGAGGTAAAGGCGGAGCCCTGCTGCTGCTCGCTCAACGCTGGCCAGATGTCTCAGACAAAGATTCCTCCACAGCCTGTAACAGACTGTTGGGGCAAGTGCTGTTAGCAAGCACTTACATAGGCTGGCACGGCACACGAGGGGGTCGGTGGTCAGTACCACGCCCGGCCGACTTTGTCTCCCCAGTGACAATGTTGACGCACGGCACCAGGAACTTATTTTAGGCTGAGTCGACCTAGGGGAGGCCCGGGACCGGTTCAGATAATCGTCCCTGGTATTGGCCGTGAGCGGGAATCGAACTCGGGCCACCGGGTTCGTAGCGCAGCATAGCGCTAACCGCTACGCCACTACTCCGTGGGAGTTCCCACGCTTTGCCCTACCGCCACACAATGTTTGCCAATCGACTAACTGTGGCGTGGCCATTTACACCGTCAGGTGGACAGAGCGCGGGGAAATCTATGAACGCGATATTCGCCGATAAACCTCACGCCCCTGCCGCGGAGCTACCTCGTGGCGCTGTCGACGCGGCACAATCCGGTATCGGACCCGTCCGTTGAGGCCCGCATCCGCGTCTGCGGCCAACAGGCGCGCCACGATGGCGCCGACGCGGGCGTCCTCCGGGACACGGACGCGGTACGCCGGCGCGGCGAAGCGCGGCCGGTTGTCGTTGACGTCCTCGGCGATGACGAGCACCGTCGCTGCGCCTATCGGTGGCGGCTGCGGCGTCGCCGTCGCCCGCACGCCCGCCCGGTCGCTCGCGAGCACCATCAGCTCGTAGCGCCCCGAGGACGCCGCCGACGTCAGGTTCGACTCCCGGTCGAGGTCCGCCGACGTGCGGATGACGCCGTCGCGAGCGCCGATCGTGAACGGTGGCGGCGGTCGTGATCCCTTGGGGCCAGGGCGGGGGGGGGGTGAGAAGAGCGGCTTCCTGTTTGATTGTTCGAGGAGGAGGGGGTGGCGGGGGAGGAGGAACTGGGAACACCGAAAAGGTGAAAAGGTGCGACTCTGAATATTTACTCGATTGTGCTGTACAGCTCGCCGGTGTGATTTCAGGTGATACCGGGGATTGTTTGGCACAATGTCCGACGTTTCACTCCCAATGCCGCGAGCTACAGGAAATGGATTCCCGAAGAAGCTTGTGGCACGTGAAGTGGAATGTTAGGAAAGGGCTGGAATTTATTGACATAAGCCCAAGCACATATTAATGTGATGGTTTTCTTCCTAAAGTTATTGGTGATCAGGCCGTGAGCATCAGCTTGATACGCGTGAGAACTCAGTTGAACCAACGGTGGCTGCCCACATTCGAACATCAGAATCTCAGTGGTGGCAGCTCATCAATCAGACCTCTTGAGAGACCCCACCAATGCCCCGCCGTTTGTTTTTGCAGCCGCGATAGAGAGCCAACTGAGACATCGGACCGGGGGGCACGGTCGATGCGGCCACCTGATGCACAAATGACACATCAATTAATTTGGCGGTCTGCGAGTAACGTGGCCACGAATCCCAAACCGTTGACCGCATCATAAACACCTAGCCGGTGCTGCTGCTGCTCCCTTCACACCTTTAAAGGAGGAACGGAGGAGATCCACTCTGCGTCTGAAGAGAAAATTGAGTGGATAACAGTTTACTGAACAGTTTATTTAGAATTGCCCTGTGAGCTAAGAGGTGCTTGAATCGGGTTTCACTAACAAAACAAACAAACTATAAAATAAAAAAACACAACCTTTGCAGGTCGCATAAAAATTATAAATACAATAAATACAGCAATGAAAAAAGTCAACCAATTTGAAAAATGTACAATATATTACTTAATTATGAATTTTATATTTAAATAAACTGAACATTAAGATTACAGAAACATATTGCAAAATAGTGCATCTAGAGTAAGGAATAAGATTAGATCAAATATAGCAAAACGAAGAATAGAAACGCCTTTGGTAAAATAACATCTAAAATTATATCTTTAATTCTCGGTGCTATTAATCGATGCGAAACAAGAAGATCGGGGGCGAGAGCACAGAACGACTCGCGACCTCGCAGCAACGTCGCATGCCAGGTTTTAAGATTTCCCGAAAGTCCGCGTAAATAAGAACGTTACAACACTGAGCCTCACCTCTGGCTGAGACCACGACAGGGAGAACTCCACCTCCGCATTCTCTCCTTCGTCTGGGTCCAATGCGACGACCGTGGCCACCGTGGACCCAGGGGCCACGTCCTCTGGCACGGTCAGCGTGAAGGCCGGCCGGGCCCCGCCTTCCTCCGGCTCCTCCCGTGGGACCAATCCGCGGCCGGATACCCGCAGGGCCACGATGGCCGGCCCGTTGTCGTTGGCGTCTAGGACCCGGACGAGGACGGTGGCCGAGGCGGTAAAACGGGGGGCCGGGGGGGCTGCTCGGTCCGCGGTCGTCACGAGGAGATTGTAGGAGGGCCGCGACTCGCGGTCAAGCGGCCGGGCCACACGGAGGACCCCGCGGGCGTCCACGGAGAAACGGCGCTCGGGGTCGCCCGATGTGATCTCGAAATCCAGCGCCGCGTTTTCCCCTGCGCGGACAAAATGTAAAGAGTAATTTTAACCGTTCGGATAGCTGCAGACTTAGTGCTGCTTGGAAGCGAATCATCAAATAACACATTGTTTAAATGCATGCCTATACACCTCACCATACTTCAATAGGGATTAGCATTGGTACGGATATATCAGTACGCACAATCGACAGGAAGTACAAGAACATATAAATAACCCAAACGGCAGTGGATACCCATAGTCATTTATATTCATTCATTAATCCCTGCCCCACTTCGTGCAAGAAGAGCACACAAGTGACGTCATCACATCTACCTCTCTATTTAAGGAACGAAACAAGAGGATTTCTCCACAAATCTGTCCTTCGTCTGGTTGTTGTAATTATTGGCGAAACGTCGCACTCCGATTGTAAATGTTGTGTCCATCGCAAACGCAGGGGGCGACCGTCATCTTGGGCCCGAGCGCTCTCGCAAGTCGAGGGCGTGTGGGAAAAGGCCGACGCCTGGCAGTGGAGAGAAAAAATGGGCTCACTTGAAAACTAATTTCTTTAGAACTGTTTGTTGTTTTGTTTAGTTTGTTGTCCTTTCTCCCCACGCCTCCGATTAGCACGGTTGGCTACGTACAATGCGAAAGAAGTTCAGCATACATACCGCACTATACACTACACTACTATCCACTACGCTATACACTACACTGTACACACTACGCTATACACTACACTATCACTACTATACACTACACAACCATACTAAATGCAAAACGAATTTCTTTCAAACTGCTTTTTGTATGTACACGGGATGACGAGTTGACTTTAAATACAAAGATTGAGTCTATGGGTAGTGTTAGTCTCTGGGCAGTGTGTATATATGAACTTCTTTCGCAACATAGTAGCCAACTGCGCAAATCGGAGGTGCAGTGTCTATTGGCAGTGTTGAGTCTATGGGCAGTGTTAAGTCTATGAGTAGTGTTGAGTCTATGGGCAGTGTTGAGTCTATGGGTAGTGTTGAGTCTATGGGCAGTGTTGAGTCTATTGGCAGTGTTGAGTCTATGAGCAGTGTTAAGTCTATGGGTAGTGTTGAGTCTATGGGCAGTGTTGAGTCTATGGGTAGTGTTGAGTCTATGGGCAGTGTTGAGTCTATGGGCAGTGTTGAGTCTATGGATAGTGTTGAGTCTGGGCAGTGTTGAGTCTATGGGCAGTGTTGAGTCTATGGGTAGCGTTGAGTCTATGGGCAGTGTTAAGTCTATGGGTAGTGTTGAGTCTATGGGTAGTGTTGCGTCTATGGGTAGTGTTAAGTCTATGGGTGGTGTTGAGTCTATGGGTGGTGTTGAGTCTATGGGCAGTGTTGGGTCTATGGGCAGTGTTGAGTCTATGGTCAGTGTTAAGTCTATGGGCAGTGTTGAGTCTATGGGCAGTGTTGAGTCTATGGGCAGTGTTGAGTCTATGGTAAGTGTTAAGTCTATGGGTAGTGTTGAGTCTATGCGCAGTGTTGAGTCTATGGGTAGTGTTGAGTCTATGGGTAGTGTTGAGTCTATGGGCAGTGTTGAGTCTATGGGCAGTATGTATGTTGAGCTTCTTTCGCACTGTAAATAGCCAACCGTGCTAATCGGAGGTGCGAAATCCTCCCTGCCCACCCTCATAATATTATAAGCTCAGCCAATCGGTGAACTAAGTAAAAAAAAAGACTTACATATCCAACCAATTAGCATTTCAGAGTAGCGCACCTCCGATTAGCATGGGACGGCTACGTACGGCGCGAAGGAAATTCAACGTATTGCACGAACACCTCGGTGTGTACGTGTCCGTGTTCGGACCTGAGTCCGTCTCGTCACGGACGGGTCTCCCGCTCCGCCCTCCGGCCGGCGCTCGATTATTCTCGCGCGCTCATCGTAGCCCTGAGAGCGATTGTTTGAGGGCGCTTTACGAATTAAAATTATAATTATTATTCTTCTCTCACCCTTTGGTCCGATGGAATACAGAAACCCAGCTTGCGCTGACGAAAGTTCCTCATCACCGATTTCGTTCCCGAAATGAACGCCGGCATCTCGCGGCACAACGCAACGCGATCCAGAATGAGTTTTGGGCAACAACAATCTCAAATATTTCAAATATATATGTAATATATAAATACGCGCGAGTTGTGCTAAATAAATAAAATAAGCAATAGAAACTGCGCTGTTAACTCGGAATTGTATCGTCGCAATCAAGGCCGAAAGCCGAGACGCCGCGGTCTCGCTCCTTCGGCGCAGAGAAGGAGCCCAAAAAATGTTGGCGGCATTGTGCGACAAACACTGGGCGATTGAGCGAGCGCTCGACACAAATGCGACGGGCAAAGCGGGCCGTAAACGCCTCCACCGAGAGACGGGATACTTAACAGTCACTTTACCCGAGGCACAAGCAGGCCAGAATCACCTGCCCATCAATGCCGGGGATTGTTAACGCGTGAACCCTGGCATTCCTCCGTCGATCTCCCCCTTCCTTTCCCGCGGTTCTTTTTTTGTGAGCGATGCCGCTCTGGCGCTTCCGTTGCCTCCGCTGCTCGAAGCTCCCACTGGCTCTCCCACAGCGATGACCACGACCGTGAAATGTTAACCAAACGACGTCCGCTTGTGTCTCACAGAATGATGACTGTCATGATGATCATAATCATGACGACAATAGTAATTTTAGAATTCGGAACGCGCACACGGTCAGTTTCGCTCTCACTATCCTTGAGAGAGAGAGAGAGATAATTATCTCGAGGCACATGAAGCCACAGATAAGCGGAAAGGCAGCCAGCACTTGCACTCTCAACATTTGTCCAGGCTCTCAAACCTAGCCTCGTCCTCGTCTCTCATTTACAATGCTGGCCACGGTGAGATTTGGTGACAAAAGCCAGAAAAATGAATAAAATTAAATGGAATAAGGATTTTAAAAAATCCATTCACTCTTCACTAATCCGTGCGAATTAGTTTGACTTTAAATGCATTAAAAAATACGTTAAATGTTTGTGTGTCTATATTTTCGCGCACCGTGTTTAACAATCCATAATAGAAGTTTTGTTGGGTTACCTCGCGAAAATATAAATATGTTGTTAAACCCGCCACCACCCGACACAGCCAATTCTGGAAGGTTGCATCACGTTAACAAAACGTGCCAACTCGTTACTAGTTCAGCACGTGAAGGGCTCACAAGTGACGACATCACAACTACCCTTCTATTTAAAGAACGAAACAGGAGGATTTCTCCACAAATCTGGCTGTCCTCCTGATGATGCTTGTTGTGATTACTGGCGAAATATCGTACTCAGATTGCAAATGTTGTGGATTCGCTCTCCAACACACCGGTGTGCTGTACTAGTAACGAATTGGCACGTTCTATTTACGTGACAAACTTTACTAATTAGCTGTGTCGGGTGGTGACGGGTTTAACGACGTATTTATATTTACGCGAGTGACGGAGAGAGAGCCAGAGACAGCGAGTGAGGGAGAGAGAGCCAGAGACGGCGAGTGACGGAGAGAGACAGGGAGAGATAACCAGAGTGACATGTAGAGAGACGGAGAGGGACGGAGACAGCAAGAGACGGAGAGAGACAGAGACAGCGAGTGACAGAGAGAGAGAGACAGCGAGAGATGGAGAGAGAGACAGCGAGCGATGGAGGTAGACAGAGAAAGACAGGGGAGGAAGCGGAGCGAGCGAGACGGGCAGAGCGTGGCAAGCGAGCCGTGGCAATCAGAGGAGCTGTGGAGTTATCGACGGAATGCGGAGAGTTGTAAATAAAGTGGTGTCGGAGAAAAGAACAAAGTTGTCCGAGTGAAGTCTACCACTACACACGCACGCAGCCACCGAATTACGTACGTACGTATGTACGCATGTTGAACTTCTTTCGCAACGTACTTGCTACATGGAGGCGTGCAGAAGGACACCACGGAGAAGGACAGGACGCACCCCCGGAACGTTTTAAAGTGAAATAAAAGTAGAGAGTGACTTTCTGTTGAATTCCGCATTGAAGGCGGAATCATCTCCTGCGCACAGCCGGTGGTAGAAATTCCACATCCTGATGGCGAGGCCAAGTCTCTCTCCACGGGGCCACTCTTGACTTCCCCGCAAATACGTTCTAATTTTTATCGACCCTGGGGGATGATGAGATGGTGGCCTGAGTAAAGCTCCCAACCAAGAGTTGAACTCGCAACCCTGGCGATGGCGAGCCACTCACTCCCACCACTGAGCCACCTGGTTGGTATTCACAAATCTGGTCTCACACAAAGATCCCCTGTATAGCCTTAACAGACTGAAGGGGCAAGTGCTGTTAGCGAGCACCTATGAAGGCCGGAATGGTACACTAGGGGGTGGGTGGCCAGCACCACGCCCGACCACCTTTGCCTCCCCAGTGGCGATGTTTACACACCGCACCAGGTACTCATTTGAGTGAGTCGACCTAAGGGAGGCCCGGGACCGGTTCAGAGATAATCGTCACTGGTGTTGGCCGTGAGCGGGTCTAACTTGGGTCGCCGGGTTCGTAGCGCGGCGCCCGCTAACCGCTACACTACCGCTCACACACACACGCACACCGACCTGATTATAAACTAAACAATAAACTAAACAATTGATATTTTACCAGGTAAGGCCCACTCAGCTGTGTAGCCCTTTTTCAGAAGCGACCTATCGCAACCAAATACTCTAAACGCGTGACGTTCATTCTAAATGTGCAGGAAAAAAAGAGGACCCGGGGAAAAATCCGCACGACCACGGGGAGAGAGACACGCAAACTTCAAACATACAGCAGGCGTCAGCGTCGGGATATAACCCACGACCTCCTGTATACCAGGCGAGGTAGTCGACATCTCATAGCCACCGTGGTGATGATGAGAGAGAGAGACGCAGACTCCAAATATACAGCAGCAGGCGTCGTAAGGGTCGGGATCGAACCCACGCAAGATAGTTAACATCTCGCCACCCTGGCGCCCTTGTAAGATGCACCCCCCAACTTTTTCTTTAAAATACGGGGGGAAGAGGCGAGGGGGGGGGTAAATAACTCTCATA